GTTAAATATTATGCTTGCGATTCAGTCTTAAAACCTGATACAAAGCCAATAGGATGTGCAATGCAAAATGTAGTGGAATGCATAGACCTTAGGGAAATGCAACATTTTCAGCAACGAAACTGGCAATCTTATCTTGTCTCCGCTACTTATTATACTAAAGTTCAACTGCACTGCCCCTTCAGCAGTGCCAACAGGCTCATGTGAATGCAAAGAGACACTGTACAGTGGGCAAACTCTGGAGTGGGTCAGGGTCTTATTTTGTTACATATTTCACACAGTTCCACAATCAACCTGCATTGTTTGATGTTACACAATAAGGTGGTATGAGTTGCATATTTAGATTAGTTCATCACAATCAGGAGATTCTACACAATGTAGGAGCTTGTGTGCAAAATGAAGGTTTCATCTTTTCTCTTAAAACCTGAAAGCAAATGTGCAAACATGATGCCAACAAGAAATGTTTATACAAATATATTTCAATTTTACATTTTCACATAGCATGCTCTTATCCTAATTTGTTCACTTTCTTGTCTATTCAAACATGGCAGTTTTCGTTAAATTCTTCCCTTTCTTCCAGTGGATCTAATTTCTAGTAAACACTTTCTCCGCATTTTGTCTTCAGCTTGTATACTTGGGCATATCCTTTCTGTACCGAAATTTTCGTATGGTAGACCAAAATTTTTTAATGTTCTTTTCTAGCTAACAGACTATTAAAAAGCGTGCAATAAAATAGAGGACACTATATGCACAGAGGTTTTCACAGGAGAACCCGGTCCAGTATACTGTACAATGGGATTCATTTTAGATGAAACAGCACTTTTACTAGCTTGTGTAACGCTGTCCCTCCATACACCCCCACTGAGCATGCTCTCGTCTCACATCTTGTGCAGAGACGCACATGCTCGAGTCTCGCGCCAGCACAAGAAGACACTCGCAAAACAATCCCTCCCTCCCCCCGTCTCGCATCGCAAGGCTGACTCAGGCCGCATCCGCTAGTAAAAAACCGACTGCACGCGCTGCACAACCATTCACTGGCCACCCCGTATATGTAGGAACTGGATCGCGTGTTTAGAATTCAGTCAAGGGTGTCTTTACTTGGCTTTTGCTTGGTGAGCGCCAGCGTCAACGTTGCCGCCAGTATAAGGGATAGAGCCTGCTGCTTCACATGTACACATGGTTCCCTTTAGAGGGAGACGGTCTAAGTTTTTTGCTCCTATGGGTGAATATATTATGCTTTCTTGCTCGCAATGATGTTGCTTTTGGTACTGTGAACAGGTTCATTGTCTTATAAAACACAAAAACAGTCAGCTTGGACACAGAGAAATTGTTTCTCGCAAGTAGTGTACTGCAGAAGAATGGCGATTAGGGCTAGTTGGTTTGAATTCAGCGCTCGTGTTGTCCTCTTTTGCCTTCCGTACCTCGACTTTGTCTGTTTCTTCTAGCACATTCGTGCTCGCGCTGCAGCCCTTATTACTAGTGTACTGCACCATCAAAGGAAAGAACATACATACGAGGGAGCACGCCTAGAGTCCAGAAGACGCATGCTGCTGCCATTTTATGGTATTTACACGTGCCTGCAATGTCGTGGCAAGCCAAGTCCCCACGCATCAGACATTCTATGAAAGGTGGACAAGGACAGAAAGAGGAAAAAAGCTGTCTTCGCAAAAAAGCTAGGCCTCAAATGTGACGCACAATTGTTTGAGGCGCGCACACCTGCAAACTTTTCAATTGTTCGGGCATCACTGTAAATCTTTCAGAAGACATCCCCAACACCACCGCTATCAGACAATAATAATAATAAAAGAGAGATGTTCTAAAATATTTGGGCATTCATTTTTCGCGTGCAAAGTGTTCCCTAAGCCACTTTTGCCGCAGCAGTTTTTGTTGCCACGTAGAAAAGTGCACGAAGATTAGATAGGGGCTACTGGTTGGCGCAAGTCACAGAACACCTGGTTCATTAAAGGGACTGTCTACCGTCCTTCGTTGCTCTCCTGTTTTGTGTCGCAATAAAAAAACGTACCATGTAAAGTGTCTAACCTTGCAGCGGTTTCTCTGGAAAGTGCGCAGAAATTTTTAAAACAGAATTTTTCTGTCCACATTATGTCTCCATCCACCCGTGGGGATGAATGCCCACAACACTGGTCGGTGCCGGTGAAAGTCGAAAACTGAAGCCGCGTGTGGTTTTTGTAGGCTTCATCAAGTTTGGTTATTAATAAAACAAATATCTTAGTGGTCGTTTTAGGCACACACACTTTTTTGTTGTTGTCATGAGCAGCGGCGACGCCGTGGTCATGTTTCTCCGCCGTTTGCAGGTAGGCATGCAGGCAAGCGAACACACTGCTAGCAGTGCAGCCGGGCGCCTATTTGAGCACGTGAAAAAAAAAAGCAAAAATTGGTCTGTGGCGCAACCTAAAGCTGCATAAAATACAATTTCAAGTTAAACGTGTTTGTTTTTAAGCAAAATAAGTTTACCTGCGAGGATTTCTTATCCTACCAATAGATTGTCAAGATTGACCACATTCGCTGTTGGGTGACGCTACAGGTCACTTTTCATTAACTTTCAACATTAAGTGAAAATTATGTCTTTGTTACTGGCCCGAAAGCATGCTCGTTACCACCAATGTGATGAACTATCTTTTCATTTGCGTCACAATCAGAAAATTTTTCCAAGCGGTAGACAGTCCCTTTAATTACACACGCCTGCACCGGCTGCATACAGGTGCAGATATGATCATTGCGTCTAAAAACTTCACTGGTAATCATTCAAAGCTGTTCATGACGTTGCTGTGGCCCAGAGATAGAACAGGTGAAAACGTACCCCCTTTGTCTATTGTTGCACACTAATTTTTCGTATTTTTGGGCGATACAAATTTAGGATGATACGAATACTTTTGATGACTCCACAAGATTATTATCACTGAGGCTTTACTGTACACAACCATATTTATTAGGTCGAAAATAGTATATCGGGGTAATATGAAATCGAAGCACCTAAATTCACAGTCAAACGTGCATCTAATTTCTTAAGAAAAACTGGTCTCCCTTTTGGCAATAAGAAAAAGACAAGACCGGCAAGCTTTACCTTGACAAAAGAAAACATTACATCACGACTGTCAAAATTAGTTTTAGGCTGCACTTTATCCTCATAAACAACAATATGACATCCTTTGCATGATTGACGATACGCTTAATAAATGCTAAACCTCAACAGACTTCTCAATAATTGCAGATAGGATCAAGGCCCACACCTAGACCATGGTATAAGGTTTGCACTCTTTAGGTGGGGACACTTCACGGTTTGCTTGTAAGGGCAATCACACAGGTAACGTAGCAACAGCGCACTCCAATCAATCTGGTGACAACAGTGAACGTCTGTTGGCACAACCAAACTTCTAAAACAAAGGATTTTTTTTTTTTTTTTTTTGCAGCAGCAGCAGTGCTTTGCAATACAGTTGAACCCCTTTATAGGAGCCATGTTCTTGGCAGAAAATCTTTGTCTTTTATATGAGATGTCTTATAATAAGGGTACCATGTATGCATTTTCCTATCAACCCGTAATTTACTTTAGGCACACTAGTGTTCTTTGTCACTTATATCAGCGTCTCTTATGAAGGGGTTCGACTGTAAATTCAATATGGTCGAGCCACACGGTGAGAAATAGGTCAGTCGCAAAGGTAGAAGGGCGTCCATGTCATTCATGTTCAACAGCTGATGAAACGCAACAGTTATGGACATGCACACATCTGCCACTGAATTCATATCTTCCGTGAAGCAGCATTTGCTATAACGCAACATTCACGCAACATTAACCTCTCTTGTCTGGAAGCTGCAGCATGCCACTAACACCCAGGAGATGCCATCGCCTCACCAATGGGTATGTGCTGAGGTGACTTTATCTGGTTGATCATACTTCGCAAGGGTCCTTACCAAAAGGGTAAATATCACTAGCCTGTTCAACAATGCATGCCATTCTAAAGAACACCGAGAACACTCGATGCCATAGCCTTGAAATCAAACAATCAGTTTCAATTTGAGGTAACAACTGGACTAAAAGCGGCAAGCTGTCATTGTCACGCTATGCACTAACTCATCCCATCACCATGCACGGCTGTGCAATAGTCATATCGTGATGCAAACGGGTATGACATTGACCAGGCTTGACTAGGTTATTCAAAACTGTGTTTTGGTTTAGTATTGATCTGCAATAACAATGCAATTTATAGAGAAGTAGTTTTTTTAAACATGCATACATAGAAACATGGCAAGTACTACCATCTGTGGATGACCATCATTGCAATAAAATTCTCCTGGGATAGGTACAACCTAGCAATTTTCGACAGTAAATGTTTGGTATATACGTTCATTTCACCCTAAACTTCCCTCTTGACATACATTGCTGTTAGTTGAACCACTACTGTTGTCATCATCAGGGTTGGGCACATGTAAGATCAACTTAATTTGAGTTATGCGGAAGGCTATTGAAATAATTCAGAATAATTCACAAAATAATTTAAGATAACTTGGTCCCATATAAATGTGTAGCTGCCACCCACGATACTAATGCTCCCAAATATCTCTTACTTTGGGTAATCTCAAGCCACCATCAAAGAAACATGACACACAAAGTAGTACAAACATGCCGCATACAGTTTTTACACTTGAGCTGTTTGCTCATGCCCTCCTCTTAACAGATGACCCATTATATGAGTGGCCAGCCCCTTGCCTCAATATTAAGATATCGCTACATCGCACCCAATTTTCCCAACAGAAGCGGGATGACTCTTCACTGCCATTAACACTGGAAAGCGCAGAGCTTGCAGACAGCATTGTTTTGCTTATGGCTCCTATTTTCTCTAGTGCGATACCATTCAAAATACAAGATAAGACAGTAGTCGAACCTCAGAAAAAAATCTCAAATATAGCAACTTTTAAAACATGTCACCTGTTCAGACATTTTTTTAAAACAGTTTGCTTCAGCCCAGAAGCTTCAAACAACGCCATTTTACTCTTCATTACATGTACATTTATTGAAAAAAAAAAAAAAAGATCTTTTTTGTCACATTAATATTTGTGTGTTCATATTGTCGTCAACTTTCGAAAATGACAAGGGACGAAATTGATCCCCCTGTTCCAAATAAGTTCGATCTTTTTTCTTCCTAAATTGTGCAGTTAATAACAAAAAAATGAAGTTATCTTTTGAGCTACTGGGTGGTATGTGCACAAACTATAAAATACACAATCAAATCCAAAATATCAACTTTCAGACCCGTGTTGATCTCTAGCAAAATCAACCACAAACAATGCACCTGTATTTTATCATGTAACTTAAACAAAAAAAATCATGTCTCTCTTTGACCATGACTTGATCAGTTACTAAACCATTTTTATTGTGTGACAGATACTGCTTTAAGCAGACTCTTATCGCTTTTCGCTTTACATTTACCTCTAACGTCTCCTCACAAAATGTTCAATTGAGGCTTTTACCTTATCAAAAACTCAGTGACAGCTTTGCACTTGCGTGAGAGAATGCATTTTCACTTGACCTTCTCTTTTTCTCACTGACTAATCCCACCACCTTTGCCATAGATTTAAGTATCTTCAGCTAGAATGACCATTTCAGCAAGAAATGCCAAATAATTCTTAAAATAAAAGTTTTATAGATGTGTACATTATGCAGGCCAATTCTGCAAAAATTTCATATAAAATGCATTAGAGCCATTCAAACCAGCAGTTAACAGTTAAGTGAACAAAACTGAAGGTCCACTCAGCACTATGGCCCCTGTTTGGTTCTCACTAGTGAGAGACGACAGTAGAACACAGTACACCAACAGTAGTACAGCAGTTATGAAGCAGTTGCAATCGTCACATCTACTCCCATTACAACTAAGGGAGTTCACACATAAATGCAGTGATGTGCACTGCTAGATAGGGAGGCAACTAAGGCAGACAACTAAGGAGTGTGCAAGATGTCTACATTACATGTGTACTAAATGTTGTGAAGAGTTAGTTACGATATTCCTCTAAATTCATCCATTTTTCTGAATTACACATGCCAGATCTACATTAGAATTTTGTCATGACACAAGAAGCAGATGAACACTGCAAATTTTTACACTTAAACGACAGCATACTTGCTCTTATGCATTGTGTTGGGCTACAAATATTTTTTAACTATTTTGGTAGTTACTGTCACTTTTTGCAATACTATACAAAATTAATATGAAAGTTTCCTTTGCTTTAAGATTGTAACATGCAGGGACAAAGCCTAACCATAATGAGAAAAAAAGTGGGGGGAGGGGGTAAGTCTCGGTGGCCTGTAGTCAAACCTTGAAAGGCTAACTGCATTGCTCATTACGGCCATTTGTTAAAACTATATTGCACCACGCCAGGGTTCTCATTTTATAAATGCCCAAGCTCTGAACAATTCTCACTAGTTGACACTACATAATATATAAATAATGTAAACATAAAACATGCACATATAGGATGCCTGGATTTGCTCTTAAAATGACAAATGCAAAACCCAATAATTAATTGGCCTCATATATATGTTGAACTAGTTAAAGACAAGGCAGTTCAGGCACTCTCGTCAAAACACATGCAACTAAGCAAAACATATTTAAGATGGATAGTGTAAGTGCCAAAACTGCCGGCACAAAATCATCAATCAGAGCTTACTGTTGAGATCTACACTAAAGAAAAGAATGCATATCTTTGTAGTGATCCCGCATCAATGCTTCCAACAGCTCCTGAGCAATTACGCAATGAGTATGCTAAAGCTACATATACTGTTCAGCAGTGAAACTGCACACCGCAGTCATGGTGTGCAAAATGATTAACTAATGACAATGACAATGAAGTAAAAAAAATTACTTCATTGTCATTGCATGTGAACAAACATATTTGTAGGATACCATTTCATGTTTTTTTTTCTTTTCTGCACATGCAAGTGCCAACCACAACACTATTTAACATAAAAATCTGATGTACATCAAGTTTCGAAGTCAAAATAAGGTGTAAGCAGCTTCTTTGCAGCACATAATGCTAACAATAGATTGTTCCGAGTAGTTTTGCTTCAATAGGAAGCACATTTTTGTTTAATCTAACATCTTTTTAACATGCATCGCATACAAGTCTTCAATTAGGGCATTCACTACCCTCTGATACAAGCTTAAGAACACTGTAAATAACCTCAATTTCGTCATTAAATGGCAATCAGCAAATACTAGCCGACGCAATCTCAAAAGTTGGTCAATAAGAAAAAGCATGTAATGTGTAGTTAAGAGCCCACTAAAAAGTGCCATTACCTCCGGTACGTGGAAGGTTAGGTGGACAATAGTGAATCGAAAACATTTACTCTACTTCCCATTTACTCAGCTAAAGCCTTGCTTGGTATGCCTAATTATTCTTGCAAACACGATATTTCGTGCCCTACAACAATTCCATTTACCTTTTCCTATGATTTTGTCTTTCACCACCATAATAAAACCACAGGAAGTTTTCTCTGAATGTTGAAGCAAAAAGTGCAGCACAGGCATGACATGCTGGGTACAACGGGCACACTGTGCATACCTGCCATGACAAAGAAATGAAAAAGGCAGTAAGCAGAAAAAAAAGTTGCAGAACCCCCTCAAGGAAATAAAGAAAAATGTAGCAGGAATCCCTAATGAAAAATAAAAATCTGCAATGATCAAACCTACACAAACTTTTGCTCCATTCACATTTTAAATTGCACAAAAGATGCAACTGCACATAATTTTTGCAAAGTCCTGCAAGCTTAAAGGTTGTTAAATGTTCCAGGTCACAGAAGTCACATGAAGGGATGTAGAGATTCATTTACTTGGCCTGCAAAGACTAGCATTGTCATCAAAACCTTTTGTGCACAGAAAATTAATTTCAGACCTTGTTCCACAACAAGAAATTAAGAGCTGCAGCCTCCCAAAGGTCTGCAGCCACACAGTGTGCTGTGACATGCACCTCGTGCGGAGCACGTGTTCAAGTCTATAATGTTAGGATGAATACAAAGTAGCACTGTCCTTCTTGAGTACCAGCTCAAGCAGTGTTGGCAGAGCATCCACATTAACTCCGGTGTCCTTCACCTGACGCAGTCGCTCCTCTAGCTCACGTTTTTCCTTTCCCACTGCCCACCACAGCCGAATCGCCAGCACCAGTAAGGGAACCTCTAGGTCACTGGGATTTGATGCAGAGCTGCCAGGCAGCCGCTTGGACAGGGCCAGCTCAGCATATTTTTGTGCCTCAGCCACATTGTCCACTGCATTCAGGCAGGCTGTCAGTACCACCAGGGTGGTGAAAGTGTCCGGGTCACCATCTCCTGCAGCGAGGGGTCATTCAACAATAGCCCATGTCATCGGATTGTACAAAAGTATATGCTCTAAAAGCTTCTAAAAAAGTGTTACACTCAATGAGTGCCGATGAAAAGACAACCTTTCATGATGCATATGAAAAAAAGCAAAAAAGATGCAAGCCTTCCGATTAGAGAATAGCTACAAAAACTGGCCCTTTGTACGCCCCACACATGTCCAACTTATCAAACTATACATACAACACATCTCAGTGATGAACCTCTTTCATGCAAAGATTTGACAATCTATTCTGAATACCATGAATGAGCAGTAGGTGGTTTCCAAAACAAGTTAGAACAAATTAGCAATATTAGAAGGAAATATGCAAAAAGCAATATCAAACACTGGCATATTCAGCATGGTTCTTCTTGGTTTCTGATTGAAACAGGCTGCACTTCTTATGGTTCTTGTTGCAAAAATAGCACCAGGTTTCCAAAAGCAAGAAATAACCTTAGTGTGTAACCTTGAATAACAAACAAGTGCTGGACATATGACATTTTCCTTCATTTGAATGATGTTTAAAGCATATACATACTTGCAACACACACAAAAAAAATTAACTGCATTTCAGTTGCACACAGCACTTAATGTACACACAGCATTTACTCACAGTGCAATAGTTTAAATAGAAAGTTATAGCACATGCCAATTTATGGCATACACACTTTTTTTAATTGTAAAAGTTGCATGCAATTGAAGATATTTAACATCAAATTTTAAGGGCGATATCAAACAAAGCACACCCAGTGCACATGCAACGTGGCCTTTTTCTAACGTCGAACTAGAAGTACCCTTGACAAGATGTGGCAAAGTTTGAATTAAAGTGCACCAAAGCAAAATGTGGTCAAGAAAATCGGCAAGCATTTTGAAATACAGAGCAAGCTTATTCTTTCCGTGCATTGTGTGGCGTTTATTTGTCTCTCTCAAACTGTAAGCAGTCACAAAGAATTCATTCGCCCGTCTTCAAGAAAAAGCACTGCAGTAAGTGCTCTTGAATTTTCTGCTTCACAGAGAAACAAAAGGTTGATATTGCAGTTTTCTTGCCCACAGTTAAAAAAAAACAGAAAAGCATCAAACAGCACACACAAAGAAAGTAAAGGTGATGCACAGTGCAAATGAGATGACTTGCCACTTTTCACGAAAAGACATGCCCATGACGCAGCTTCACAGTACGAGCACTAGTTACACTAACTATTGAGTTGAATGAACCTTTTTTAGATCCCCCGTCGAAGCATCCCTACACCCAATGCAAACACATTTCACTTGTACTGTAGGGCGCATTTCAGTTCTACAAACATAATTCATGACACGACACTAAAACTAGAACTGTGCAAACAGCCGAATTTCGGGTACGAAGTTAATCCGAATATTGAAGTCGAATGCAAAAAGAATATTTTTTGAATACTACAAAATGAAATTGCAGAAAAAAGGTGGAGAGGATTCTTAAGTATAGTATTATGAGATAGTACCATGAAAGTGTTTCTTTTGGCTAGGCTGGCAAAGTGCTGAAGAGGTGTAGTTTCATTGTTGTCTTATCAAGAATGAGGCTATGCAGAAATTTAATTGTATTTATATGCATGACTTGGTGAAACGTAAGTGTTGTTGATAAAACTTTACATGTGAAAGGCAAAAATATTATTTCTTCAGCCTCTCCTCTTTCAACTTCTGTGGAAGCCCAACTGATGCTGCAGACAAGGGTGTGCTCCCTTCGAGACCAGAGCTCAATATCTGTCTCATAGACGTCAATTTGAAAAAAGACTTAAAACTTCAGATGCGAAAAATTATTTGCATCCGCTTTTTCAGACTTACTACCAAAATTCTGAGTCCAAAGCAGCATTAATTGAGCCCCCATGTTGGAACCAGCATTGTCTTGAGTTGGTGCATTTGCAACTGTCAGAGCTTGAAAGGCACTGCCTTTGGTGCAATACAAGGTCATGAAATGAAACATATTGAAATTTCAAAGAAGCCACTACTAAACGAACATTGCGCAAATTGAACCAAACAACAAGCCCTATTAAAAAAATATTCAAAAGTTTGAATATTCACATGCACACCTTCAACTAATAACAGCACTGAACCCGGTGGCTGAATGGAATGGTTTGAAAGACTAGGTACAGACAGCACCTCAGAAGAACTTCTTGTTGGGAAGTTGGTGCATGTCTTATTGTAGGATATGTGTGCAAGAATTGGACGAACACAGAAAAAAAGAAGTTACACAGAAAGAGTGCAAACTATCAACTGGCTTATTCATTTTTCAAACCACTTAATGTAAGCTTAATGTAAGAAATTTGTGTTTTCAAGAAAAGGCTCGCATCCTAAGCACATACTGCAATAAGCAGGCAGGTGCGCTCCTTCTCTATTTAAAACCGACATGGCATGCTCCTTGGTGCGCTATTAACAAAGCATTCCGTGTGTCCCATGTAGGACCTTCCACATTTACGTGGTATTTCATACATCACTTTTATGGTACACTTGACAAAGCTCTCCGCATATTTCATTCTGCAACCATTGCATAGGAATTGCTTTGCACCACCAATCTTGGAGCATAATCTCGCGAGCTCTCTAGGAGCTGAAAAAACCACCTGGGCACTATGTCTACATATTCCACTTATTTCATGTTGTGGCCAACCTTGTGCATACACGGCACAACAATGAGCTGCTCTTTTACAATTTCCTGCGCAGGTTTGCGTGATGTAAGGCATGCATAAATTTGTTCTCATTGTCTCCTTAACCCTTTTCTTTGTGACATTTGAAAAAGCTTATATTAGGCTGTTTCAAGAATGAATACACCAGTTGATAGTTCCCGCACTTTCTACTTTGTTTTTCTTGTGTTCGTCTGATTTTCGCGCACATATCCTACAATAAGTACGGACAGCACCTTGCTTTTTAAGGACTATTTCACATGCGACCTTTGCATTGAGCCATGTGCCACTGTCTGTAGAAGAGATTATAGCAAGGTCCTGCCTGAAGAGGAAGAAAAGGAAAGGAAGCACCAGTAATTTCAGCTAAAGGAACACTGTTGTACTTGGAAAAAGTGAAGTTCTTCACTGCCAGACAGATTGTTGTGCTGGAGAAGGTTTATGAGAGCTTGAACACAGCTACTCAATTTATGACCACTGAAGTCCCAAGTGCACAAGAGCAGCAAAAAATTACTGCATTCTTCTAAATTTACTCAATAAGCAGAAACTCACATTCACATAAGCAACATTGGAAAGAAGAGAGTTCAAACTTCATTTCAACAACTGATGTTTTCTTTGTCCCTTACTAAGTTTCAACATGGCTCTTTCAGTTCAGCAACTTTCACTTTTACGAACTTTCTTCTGGAGTCCTTTGAAGTTCGTTCAAGTGATGTTTTACTGTACTTCCACCTCAACAGAGTTCATGCGCAAAAATGACAAGAGCCATACCGTTATAACATTTTCATTAAAGAGAATGTATATTGTCTGTAGAAACACCCTGTATACTACCGTGAAAACTGAAATATATATCGAACTTTTTTTTTTTTTCAAAAAACGGAATGAAAAGTCGGACCTCATCTTATACACCTGTCATTGCAGAAAAAATGTGGAAGTCTCACAACAATGGGCAGCTAAAGTCGAAAGCCTCCATAGCCATAGTGAGCATCAACAGCGGCACTGTTGGGCAAGACTAGGCAAGGCCTACAGCAGTGGTTCTCAAATGAGGGTCCGCGAAGCCATTTCCATGATTCGCAAAACCCTCACCCGCATTTTTCTTCAGGCGTGACTGTGCCACGTATTGATGAACTGTCCAAAATGAAGTGATGTGGCACGTTTGCTTGATGTTTTTCGTAGAAATAAAAGGTAGGCTCGTGCGAATATTTAAATGTTTCGAATATTCAAACGAATGATAGAGTATTTGAATTTGCTTCAATTCAAATTTAAGTTATAGAAAATTTTGAAGTATTCGCAATAGACGAATAGGTGTATATTAATCCGCATGTAACGGTTTGTAAAGGTAGTTTTGCTGCAGTGTCGGAGTGCTAAGCCGTGAACACCCATCCAAGGGAAATTCGCTTCGCCGCGAAGCCTCCCTGCAAATTTAAAGGGACCCTGCAACACTTTTTGAGCATAGTCAGAAAACGCTCCCGATCGGTAGTCGACACTTCCGAGAGCATGCGAGTCAAATATTATAGTGCAGCACGCGTGCTGTGATTTACTGTGAATTCTCAAAGCCAGCTGAAAATCGCTCTCTTCTCTCGGCAAATGACACCACAAGCTCAAAAATCACTCGTCACAGCTATTGCATCAGCCATTGCCTGATTTGAACATGGCGTGCTCAGTCGTCACTGGAGCCGCAGCAGGAGGCCGCGACCTGTCCACGTGTGCGGGCACGATCACACTGAAAAGCCGCGTATTCTAAGGAAAAATAAAAAAGATGTGCTCAAGGTCACGAGGTGCATGTGACGTATTTTCTTTCACTGTGCCATTCCTCCCTGCTTAGCTTCCAGCTATTTTGTCGGGACAAAGAGAGAGAATTAAATTGCAGTGTGCGACTAATTTTTGGAACTCCGTCGCTCATACTGGACCGATTCAAAAAATTTTGCTGTGGTAAATTTGCGAGGCAACAACCTTCTTTACTGGCTCTATGGCTACTTTAAAAAGTGTTGCAGGACCCCTTTAAATGAACATGTCACCCTCAAATCAATTCATCATTTTATTAAGCTTAGAAGCTTGTTATGACAGCTTATATGCTCAAGTATAATAAAATGTTAAATGTTACCTATTTTACAGGTTATCAATCGCATCCTACCGAAACTCATATACCGCTACTACTCAACAATTTTTTTAACTTTCTGTGAATGAAAAAAAAAAGACATTTGCATAGAGGACTTATTCAAGTACAAAAATATATTGTGCTGGTTAGTTAGGTCATGATAAATATGCCCATTTTTATTTGTATGTCATATATACTATTCAAGTCTAAATCGGAAATATTCAACCAAAATCACTATTTGCTTCGAATTCGCTTCAACGTATGCGCAGTAGCAAACTACTGCGCGTACATTGAACAGAAATATTGGGACACTCCCCCCTGTGTACGCGCGATGTCTGCAACACGTGATGAAACATGCATAAAAAGAGCGCACTACGCCATTTGCGGTCACTGTGAACAAGGCTCCCGTGTCGGGAGCCAAAACGTCTTTTTAAGTTTTGTGTATTTCACCTTGGTCGGCGTTTTTGTTAATTTGCACTATGTTTGTCCCCGACCAGACGGGATTCCGTCGGACTTTTGACTATGAAAGAGGACTTGTCTAACTGAAACCGAAGGTTGTTGCCGAAAGTGACCAACTATAGCAAGCATGAAGCCACCCCACCTCTTGGGCACAGCAGAGAATAGCTGTTTGCTCACAAATAAAAAATATGATCCCGTGCCTCTGAAATGTATGCAAAATAACAGCTGGATCTCGGGACACTCCTGCTACTAAAGCATGACATTGTGTCCATCATATCTTCATGCTTTGAAGTTTTTCTAATGACCATAAGAAAAGCATTATTCACTGCCCTACACTCCTTTTGTTTAAAGTATCATGTGTTATACTACTTTTGTTTAAGGTATCATTTGTTATAACTTTTTCAGTAAGTGCTTACTTGCCATTCCTAAACTTCAACTCAAATGACTCGACTTGACCTTCAGGTGGTCCCATACTACCACAAAATGACGATGACTTACAGTCCATACTTTGCAGGCTACAAGACCAAAAGTGTGCAACATGTTTCTAGTTAAAGAGAACCTAATTTAAAAATTGTGCACCACTTACCAAGAAGTTTCTCTTGTACTGAGTAAGCATTTTCAAGCAAGACAGAGGCATCTTCAAACTGGCCAGCCGTCATCAGCCGGTGAGCACGGCACACCTCCCGGCGCCACGTGAATTCGGCAAACTCTGGGGATCGGCGAAGCTCCGGTGAGGCATGAACACGGGACAGTAAGTGGCGAAAGGCCAGGCTGCGTTCCGTTATCACCTCGGAGGTGAAGTTTCCCAGCAGGGCTTTGCGAGGGAAAGGGAAGTCGCGCAGTGCCACACATGATGGGTGACGACGGCGCAGACCCGCGAATAGGGCAGAGAAATCAGAGTAGCGGCGCTCTAGGACACCTGGGAGTCGCTCCAGTCCAGGGCTCTTTTTCACAAGCACTGTGTAGCACTGGCAGGAACAAACCAAAAATATCAAGACGTAAGTACAAGGTCTGCTACCAGACCAAAATTGAGTATTGTTAAGGCATCGGTCATCGAAAAAGAACACTTTCAAACATCAACAAAGAATTTGGGCTATACTGCTTGATGAGGTGTGAAAAAAATTCAACTTAAGATACCCAAATAAATTTTAGCTTTTTTTTTTTTTGCCTAAACGGACTTGAAGATTGCTATGAGTAGCTAGCTTGGCAAAAGGAGGTAGTACAAGACCATACAAAACCATGAGACCAGAAGTAAAAATATTATTATTGCACAGCTATTAGCCACCACTGGGCTGACGAAGCCAAGCAGGCAACACACCAATCTCCTAACAGGGTCAAAGATTTCCAACAGCCAATGAAAGCATTTGCTATTGCCCATATTTTGTTAACATATTCTCAGTCAAAGTACAACATACTGTTCGCTGTTATTTCGTGTGACTAGATTAAGAATGAAATATGCGAGTGAAAATTGTCAAGGTGGTAGCATTCATACCTTCAAAGAAAGGCATAGCTGCCATGACTTTTTTTTACTGTGTTGACCATAATATTTTCCCATTTCATTAGAAGAAAAACCTTACATATGAAACAGTAATACTAAGGCTAGTACAGTCGAGCCTGTTTATAGCGAACCTGAGCCTGACGCGATATCCATTCGCTGTATTCTGAAGTTCATACTAAATGAAAACCAGCTTTAAAAAAAGCTGCAAGTGAAAACACAAAATTTTTTGCCCAAAAATGTCCATGATGCACATGTTTCGAAGTACAGAAGTGATAAGGGCGGTCTCTAGTTTATTTCAAACGGCAGCGTGCTCTTCGCCGAGGCCCGTGACATAAGCTGCACGAGGCACTGGCTCCAAAGTTTCGTCATTCTTACAATCCGATTCCTCCAAAAACGCTCTTGCCGCTTACTTTATTCACAATGCCCTAATCCATGCACGGTTCCGCGGTGTCGGCATCATCATCGGCCCTAATGAAACCATCGCAACAGATGTCCCACCTCTTCTCCCATGTCAAAGTCGACGACACGCTCCCACAAATCGCCGCCGCAGTGGTCCTGTTCGGAAGCTTCAGGCTCGGCATCGAGCCCAACGTCGACGAAGTCGGCCTCGCAAAAACAGTTTCGCGCGCATGTAGCCGTCACCGCCGCCCACGAAATATTCACCATCTCCACAGCTGAATACCGGGACACCTGAAGCGGCAAGTTGGCTGCCAGGTGGTCAACAGCTATTAGCAAGCGTTCTGCGATGCGGCACCTAACGCGCGGATTAGGCCCAAGCCGGTGTTTTGTTGAGCGGCAGGAAAAAGCGTGCAAGGCCTGAGACGTCAAACTCTAGAGTTCTACGGACACGCAGCGTCACCTGTCGACGTAGTTCTGAGTAGTGCAAAGCCCGACTCCCTTGCACAGTTTGCTGCGCAACCAAGTGCATGATGATGATGATATGTGGGGTTTAACGTCCCAAAACCACCATATGATTATGAGAGACGCCGTAGTGGAGAGCTCCGGAAATTTTGACCACCTGGGGTTCTTTAACGTGCGCCCAAATCTGAGCACACGGGCCTACACCATTTCCGCCTCCATCGGAAATGCAGCCGCAGCAGCCGGGATTCGAACCCGCGAGCTGCGGGTCAGCAACCGAGTACCTTAGCCACTAGACCACCATGGCGGGGCCGCAACCAGGTGTAACTACAGCTCACGAAAGAACGATCGAGCGAAATATTAGATGCATTTGCACATTAAACACTCAGAAAAAAAGCCATGAATTACTCTCCGCTTGTCAGACACGTCAACGAACCTCTGTGAAGTGCTTGCTGGTTCAATCGCCTGAATGACAGCAAAAATAAGAGCAGACGCAACAGCTCCCCACTCCATGAAAAAAGACCTTGTTCTGTGCTACTGTTGTGTTCTGAATTGCCACGGACGTAAATGAATTCAGTTTTACTGATTTCCGCAGCTTTGGCAAAGCAGAATGGCGAGAGCGCTAAATAAATGCCGTTGCAAACGGTGGAGAAAGCAAATTACTCGCGTTCTCCACAGCCGTTCGCTTAAGTATAAGTATGTTAATGTAGGTCTCCTGTTATTGTTTTTAGTAGCCTTGACGGAGAACCACGGTAACTTTTATTATGAAGCTTAACAGACCCTCTGACCACGATGCGTGACATACAACAGTAGACAGGTGACGCCCGGCGATTCGGGCGTCGCACACGTCGCAACCACCAATAATCTGAAGTTGTCGCCACTACACAGCATTACGCACGTAGGGATTTGAAGGCTCTAAGTCGCAGCTTTAACTAGGAAATGCGAACATGTGCATCATGCAGGTAAATCGCAAAATAATCGCGACCACGAACAGGTTTTTTTTCTTTTTTGTCGCTGGTCTCCGCGATTACCGCAGCTATCTTGAAGGCATCGGTTTTGCCTTTCGTTGTACACTGAGAAGTGGACACGCATGTATCCTCATTCGCAGTATATACGAACGGAAGACAATCGTCACCAGAGCATTCGAGCATGCGTAATAAAACAGTTCATTGCACAGGAAGTGAGGAATCGATGGAGAATGCAACTGCAAAGCGAAAATCACCAAGGCCATTCGTGCCGGATAAAGCGAGCTTCGTACCACTAATGGCATAGATGGTTCGTGTATGCACTTCATCACTTTGGCATCAAGTGTATGCTCAAGTTTAACGCGTTTAGGCATTACAGAATGCACATCGGAGTGCTTGCCTCAAACTCGATGTCATACGACGCTCGCATGCAGTTAAATTGCCAGTTGCAGCACGCCGAAATAAATTAAACATCTTTTGAATTGTGCCCGCATTTCATACTGATGAGTTTCCTACTTTTATGAAGCGAGGTTGGATTGAAGGAAGAAGCTTGACAGGTTTTTGATGTTCAGGAAACCGCACCTCAAGACCAACGAAAAAGGAGGGCCTATGCACATTCGCTTGCGGAGGGCTCTCTGTGCACTACCCATTTATGGCCGGCGCGGCGATGGGGGCGCTGGTGATGGCGTTTTTTGCAGCGCCGCTTAGGCAGAGTCTGGTGACCACACACGCACACCGAGAGCGAGCAAGACGCGCACACGCGACACACATGCCAGAATGCGTGATACAACTTTGGGCTCGTGTCTAGTCAGAAAACAAAACTTCTGAATTCGAGCCAGTGTGGCTGGCATAGCGGAGCTGCGGAGACGGGCGAAGGAGTTGTGATCAAGAGAGGAGAGCAGACTTGCGAGAGAAAGGCAAGGAGTTGTGATAGGGTGAAGAGAGGGGAGGATACGGCGGGAAAGCGACCTTGAAAACCAAAACATGCGGGAAGAAGCAGGTCGGGTAGCTTGCTCGAAAAGTCAGTGAAACGCGCAACTCGCGCGTAGAAAAATTTGAAAGAGGGCCTGCGTGCACAGAGGTCTAAGCACGGCCTCCTGGATCAGCGCACGCGGCGGTGTTTGAAGAATCAGCGGCCGTGATCAAAGAATAGTTTTGTTGCGCCGGCGAGTTTGCGTGGCCTCACCCACTTCAATAATTCGCAATTCGTTCCACGCAAATTAACAGCTGTTTTTATGCTTCCGCACGCGTGCGGAGGGCATGTTGAGCAGACTGCGAAGTGAGCGAGAACAGGTCCTAAATATGAAATGAATTGTGAGTGAGTGGGGAAGCGTACGTGCGTGCACTAGATTAATACGATAAGACAAGACACAGACGATCGGATACAGACGATGTTGGCAAATGGTCAGGTCACTCCAGGCCGGCGATGTCAACGACAGTACCAGCGATTAATAACAGGGGAGATGGCCGACCGGTCTTCGAAATATCGGTGGCAGTGTGAAAACACCGGCCGCATCTGGCAATACGGGGTGCTCAGAGTAGCGAGGGGCACAAAAGACAGAGGGGTGCGTAACGAAAAGCGGTCAGGGAGAGTGGCAACTGGAAGGGCGCGGGGGCAGGGTCGGTGTTTAACAATAAGAATCTATGGGCACCTCGCCGATGCCTGATCGGTGGTCGAAAGTGGTTTCCCGGGAAGTCGGCAGAGCGCCGACTCCGTTGGTTGTAACCGATCGACGGTGCTCGGAGATGTTCGTTGTAAGTGTTATTTTGAGTCGTTGAAGCAATGTAAATTTTCATGGTCACACGGATATTGTTCGTTTTAAGCAAAAGTTCGTCTTAAGTGGGGCCGTTATATGTGGGCTCGACTGTATCCATAATTCTAATAATGAATTGAGTACCCCTAATAATAATGCTGCGTTATGTGGCACTTGATCCTACCTTAAGCCACGTTTAATTTTGTCCTAGTTATGTACAGCCATCAGCAAGGTGAACACTAACGTTCCTAAAGATGGCCTGAAACTGTCTGTCTGACGGCAGTGCCATGTACAGGCTATTTCACACTTAGCGGGAATCTCTGATCGCATAACATGCCGTGATGCCAGCGCTGTACTCGCGTGCCACTATAGCAGATGACATGAAAGTGTCTGTGCATGCACGAGCTGCTGCCAGTGCTTAACTGCAGCATTGGCAGCAGCTCGATTTATGTGTTCCTAGATTTCCCCCAAGTGTGAAACAGACTGTACGTTCAGGTTCTGTCGCCTAAATGTTACCAATACATGCCAACCTACTATCCAAGCATACGGAGGTATTATCTCGGCAAAAGTGCCCAGCACTTCGCAAATGGAATAAGTCAAACCAGTCTAGGGCACACTGCAAAGCGCTCGTGTTAAAGCATGCTGACAGTTGTACCAACCAACCCTTCCCAGCACACTTCTGAAACCTTGCTCTCCTACATATCTGTTATATGAATATCCATCAACATTAAAAATTAATCAGGTGAAATACTTTTTATAGCATTCAATACATGCTGTCTATACAAATGAGGTGACAATATAAAGCTGTTCCAGTCAGTAGATAAGGTAACCATGTCTGCATGGCACCTCATCCATTCTGTCAGACAAGAAGAAGCCACTTAAGAAAAAAATGTCAAAAGTGAACACTGGCCTCTATGAAGAGAGAACTACACACTAAGTTGATTCGTTTCACCTGTACTTTGTGAACCCGTTCACAGAGGCACTGTACTGAGACATTCGTTTCGTGAGCTCAGGATGGCGGCGGCAACACCACAGTATTCGTTTTGAAAAGTGCAATCGTTGTACAAGGCTAGTTCATGAATTTCCTGCACCTGCTCATCAGATAGTGCAGAGTCTATACAGCAAAAGGTGACTGGAACCACTGCAGACCCAGCCGACTGCATTTGTGTCTATTTTGGCAGCGTCCGGTAGTTGCATAAGCCAAGCAACGCAAAGAGCGTTATCTTTTACAGATCACAGCCTCCACAACCCTTGAGGCAGCCGACCGTAGTATGGGGGCTTGCACCACATCTGCACTCTCGTATTCATTTTAACATCTCATTGCTGCTGCACTTTCCAAAATGAATGCTGTCCGACGACAGCATTCAGACTGCACTACCATGAACCAGTTCAGAAAGTGCAAGGTGAAATTAATGGACCTCAAGGTAGATGGTCTAAAAGTACTTATGTCTATGGTGTTATGTATACCTCACATGAGCTGAATAATCTACCCTATGCACATAAGACACCCAAACTCTTTTTTTTTAACCTCCCTCTCAAAATACGAGCGACTAAAGAAGTAGGAAAGAATAGCAAGCAATTGTGAAAATTGAATCATTTACATATATGAAAAAACTATGCGGATTTTTATATGAGTTTGTGAAACCAAACTACATCATGCCTACCAAAAGGTGTATGTTGTTTGCTGCTTATCATTTCATTGATACAAAATGTGAGAATAAATTCTTTAAAAATGAAATGTCATTTGTTTCCAATTATTACCACAAATGACATCCTCCATTCACAGTAAACCACTAACAATAAACCTGAAAATTTTAAGGGTCCTATAAATTCAAGCAACAGCATAAATATTTCAGTGAAGAGAAATCGTAGAACAGGACATGTCGCTGGTGCCTACTTTTGGGTTAGAGGATTTGTCTTCATAAGGGCACCAATAGCCTTCCTAATCAGCATTTTTAATAATGCCTTGCTCACTCTCCCCTAACTCAGAGATGGAGAAGTGTGAGCTTGTGCACAAACAGGAGAAAAAGAAATAAAGGAAGCAGTGTGAATTCAGCTTTCAATAATAAAAATTTTGTACGACAAAGGGAAAATCGATGAACAGCGAGAAATGAACATAATGGGGAGGGGGAGAGGAACAAAGGCTGAATACTGGCTTTGATCTCCAACAGTTTAGGTATGATGTAGAGCCATGCTCCCACCAAGATAGCAGAAAACAGTGCCAAAATCATGTAAAATAGGACCTATATTGTTACAACGAAAGTTGAAGGACCAATACATAGTACTGCAATCATAAATATTCTAAATACAGTTTTTTTAAACATTTCTATGCCACTACTTTTTTGGCGTGTCACAATTACAGGAGCTGAAATGTTGATAATTTCTAAATAGCTTCCCGATAATCAGCTCTGTAGATCTCTCCCAATTTTTTCCCAATTTTTAGAACACGAAACATGAAAAAAAAAAAAAAGCCCTAGGTACAGAGTCAGCGTGAGCATGCCGGAAAAGCTCCAGAAAGTAGAGTTCTTGTAACAAAAGGCATTGCACAACTTTTAACAAAGTTAAAGGACTGCCTCATACAACTGAAATAACACTGATCTTTCAAGAATTACCCAGCCAAAAATATACCTTCACCGCACTATTTCTTGTGTTGTATCATCATGTGCTAAAATTTCAGTCAAAAAGTGCTGAATAACAAGACATGCCCACCAAATGCAAAATTATTTTATACTATGGCATGCTATATATAAATTGCTAAGAGAGTTTTATAGTCACAATGACCCATAAACAAATCCAGCAATGCAAGCATAACATAACTCAATAGTGTACCCACCACAAACTTCTTACGCCCTTCATTGACTGTTTTGGCTGACACAATCTCAAAGACCACCTCCTGAGGTCCTACTCTCGATGGAGGATCACCTGCCGAGGCCATCAGGGTATTTGGCTGTGAAGTCTTTGACCACGACCCTAAGGACCAAATAACAATATTTAATAAATTGCCATGCTCCTCAAACAAAATATTTTGGGACAGCCTGAAGTGCGACACCATATTTAATCACCAGTATTAGTAAAGAACACTGCTTGCCAAAAAATGAAAAATGGGCGAGAATACTCCATTATGGGCAAGCCACCTCCTATTTCATAATACAATAACTTAATTAAGGATATTACATCCGGACAAGCTGTGTAGTGAACCATTACAGTGACACTAATGAAATTTATGTGGGAACACAAGTGTACTCACCTACTTATGCACATACTATGTTACTAATTACAATCACCTTGTAATAATGACACTGGCTAAAAACAAAAAGAAATAGAAAATATGAAAATTCACGAACTGGCCATGACCAGAACTATCCCATACATTATTTAAGCCTACCATTTTATTGTGCACAAAAATAGGGAGCACGGAAGCGTATATTCTGTTCTCAGTTTATGAACTTCCGCTGTGTAGTCTTACTACCTCCCTTTTTTTTTTTTTTTCGGTAGTTCTCAAACTTTCCTCTTTTCACTGATGATAAATGAAGTTACGAACAGTACATGCATCAAATGACGAACACATCAGCTAATCAGTGCTTACCCATCACAATGCAGCCACCATGTCTGTGCAGCCTTGTGCTTAGCAGCAGAGTGCCACAGCTACTGAGCTATTATGGCCATTAGGAAGGCCCCTCGAAAACAGTGCCAACAAAAAATAAAAACTGCCACTTTCATGAGAAAGCCTGCAACACTCATAGCAATGGAGAGAGCAGGTGTTGTAGGTAATGAAGCTTGAAACTATAAATGTTTCTCATTTACTCATTCCACTTCTATTACTGAACCCTTTTAAGGGAAAATGCTACTCAGAAGAAAAAAAAGTTTAATCTGTAGCCTCAGCAAATGAAATTTTTTCCTGTATACATAGACTTTTATGCTCATTTCAGTATGTGATCAGTTTTATAGTAAATTGCTTAGTTTTTGTTTTGTACCATGAAAATGTGTAAAATTAGTCTTTTTTTTTTTTGGCACACTCTCTTTGCCTCTGAATTTTTATGGTTCCGAATCATTAATGACTCGTACTACTCCACATTAACTGCAGAAAGCAAATCACAAGAAAGTGTGTATAAAACACTTTAATGGACAATAATAATAGTAATGTGAGCAGTCTTGAATGCTCAGGCCACACTTACTTTAGGTTTATCACAATTATATAGATGATATCAAGTTTTGAAGGAGACATGCCACTCTTCAATATCTGGGCAAACTTTCATTCAGATCTGCCTATCAGAAAGAAGCACCAAAAACATGATGTCAAAACTCAACCACTTGTCTAAAATTGTATCGTGAGGAAAACACATTTTAAAGGTATAAATGAAAGCTTGTCTATGCAACCAGGACATGTTTTTAATATTATTTCCTGAATCACGAGAGCTTGGAAACCATAGTTATTTTGAGCATGTGGCTTTGGCAAACTGCTCATGCGAAATGCAATGGCAAGCAGCAAAGTGACAAATTCCAGGGAACTCTAGACAATAAGCTCCTTTTAGTTGCCGCACTGTGGCTTTTAAGAGATATTTAACCTACCTCTAGTTAAGAGATTTTAAATTACCTCTAGTTTAATTACAATTTTCTATTTTTTGTCAGGAAAGTGGAGAAACTAAACTTGTGAAAGCAAATAAAAACAAAATTATGTAATTTTGGAAAAACACTTCTTTTTTTACTTGCATCCAGCCTTAAAAAATCCAAGTATACAACTCCCTAATAAAATTTGAGTATGTAATGAACATCATCCACTAATAAAAGCTGGCCGCAGGTGCCCGTGTCTTCCGACGGCGAACTGAGCAACATAAATACTTAAGCTTTGCAAATTCGCATTAGAGTTTTCAGAGTGCATAGTGACATGCGCTGTCACGGTTACCTTTCCTTTTTCTGCTAGTGCTTTTTACGCATCACAGTCTGCCAAGCACAAATGAAAGGATCTGCACTACACACTGTGCAGAGAATTCCTCTAAATTCCACAGTTTCTTCTTCCCTCAGTTCAAAAACACCAGTGGACAATAGAGTACCAGAAAGACAATCACTATGGTGTTCTAATTCTTTATAGAAATGTCGTATCAGGCAATCATGACGTGAATAAAAGGAAGGAAGATATGAAAGAGAAAATACATCGGCAGACACTTTGATTAGTGAAGTTACGATACTCCTTTTCAATATGTTAAAAAGCTTGCTTCAGTCCCTTTTAAGTGCAATTGCCCAAATCTAACTTGCATGCACAAATGTCAATTTTTTTGTGCATCTTCACCATACGACTGAATTCCGTTCCAAAAAAGGCGAAGGCAAGTGCATGCTTAGAGAGCACCATTGTCCCAAAACCAATTTTTTAAACTTCATTCCATCATGTGGAGCTGACACACAGAAAAGTTGCCTGTGCACACGCTAGTCAAGATATGCGTTTCTGTACATGCTAGTTTATCACAATACCAGCTTACATGTGAAAGGCTTTTGGCAAGCAGCAAATGGTCTGGGATCTATGAAAGCTATAAGCTAGCAACTAAATGAATGAGCATAATCTGTGCAAGTGAGCCAATGAGGCCACATTCACAAAAAATATCAAACTGCAACTACAATGTTCACACTTCTAATGGCAAAGTGAACAATACCTGCACAGCAGCACACACAGCTATTCAAGAAAAAGCTCCTTCCTTCCTATTGCATTGTAAATCTACACTCAGTCCCAATAATATTTGACCTACATGACAAAATAATTGTGAAAACTTACACTAACTAGCAAGCATACAATTTACATGTTAGTAAACGCTGCCCATTCATGCAATTGTAGCACACTTTTCAAAAAACAAAAACACAGATTTACTTGTAAAGGATTCATTGTTCTTAATAAAAATTGCCCTGGTCTAGATTTTCAGTCAAAGGTCTGCACTGAGAACTCAATGTGGTGAGTGTCACATGATTTGAACACACTAAATGAAAATTTCCAACAGAGCTTTGTTAAAAAGCTGATGCATAAACGAGCAAGAAAGATTCCCCAACAAAAGCCTGTACTTTAATTGAATGAGTGTCTACATAAATAACTACTCCTTTGCTAAACAAAATTATATTTCTGCATGTACTCAGATGATCAGCGACTGTGTATATGCAGCAAATGATGCCAAATAACAGGAGTAACCAAAGCTTTTTTTGAATAGAAAATGTATATTTTATTATTGTTAAAAAACACAAAATGAAAAGATTCAGTAAAAGTTATATCTGCCTTGACAGAATTCTCTTTTAGAAGGTTCTCAATGTGCAAACAAAAACAAGTCACAGTGTTTAGTCAGGATCTATGAACCAGCCATTTAGGAGGCGGCTTTCTTGTGCCACTAATATCTAGGACCACCATTATCGTTACTGCAAGACCTGTGACAGTAATGTGCACAAGCTTTGTTTGCAATGTTATTGTGATGCACACAAATGGCACGTAGAGCATAAAGCAATCAAAAACATTTTCTGATGAAGTTGAACATTTACCTAGTGAATACTACACCCGAGTTTAGGGAGGCATAACTTAAGTTCATTTATTATTGTGCTGTTCCTCATTATTTCAAGCTATTTTTAATAACCTACCACAACCTACCTTTCTCCTTCAAGAAAAATTTCTTCAATGTTTGTGAAACTAGTCTGGTGCTAGCTATTTACTGAACTAATGTAAAGATTCAGATCTTTCTTCAATAAAAACTAATTCTGCTGTCATTTACAAAGGGAGTCAATTCATGGCTCCCTTTGTAAAAAATAACAACATAGCCAACTAAAATTAAAACAAAATACATAGTGTCCTTTCTTTAGCAATAATACAATAACAACTCCAGGGTGGATATTACAGAAATCAAAAATCATGGCAAGAAAGTGCGTTTCTACACTTAAATTTGTACACATAAATAGTAAAGACCCATCTTAGAGGAACAGTGTTTACGGACGTTTGCTGGTGAATGGGTACACGAGATACTGAAAACGGCAAACACTGAAGGAACGGCACAAGGCATTTTAATGTTTTATTCTTTCACTCTGTGCCCCCCCCCCCCCCATATTCGCATTTCTTTTTCATCATTCCTCACACTAAGCTCATTTTTAAATGGTTTTGCACACGGCCAATTTAAAACGAATGAGTGCAGTTCATTTCGCAAATTAGAAAGAAATTGTTGGCAAATGAAGCCCACACACCGAATGTCAGAACAGAATTCGGGGGCAGCACATCGCTGCAAATTTATATCCATGTAGCAAGCCCACGTCATAACTCGAGCGTACCTTTTGCTGAAAAAAAGTTTTGCAATTTTTGGCCTGTTCGAAGTACTCACTGGTTAAACATCACACCCAATCAGGATTAAAGAATGGAGAAATTGAAGAAAAAAGGGGGAGGACCCTATGTTTGTAACAAAGAAGTCGAGCGCATGGCAGGCATGTATGGGAAAGCACGCAAATTCGGTATCATCCGTCGTGGCGAGCTTAATGAGAATTATGCCACTGTAACCAATTTGTAACGCGCGCTGGACGAAAACCAAGACATCTTTACAGCTTCCTTTCACTTTCTCAAATATCAGCTTTTGATTGATTGATATCTGATTGATATCTTTAACGTCCTAAGACCATCATATGATTACGAGAGACGCCGTAGTAGAGAGCTCCGGAAATTTAGCCCATCTGGGGCCTCATCTGAGCACACAGGCCTACAGAATTTTCGCCTCCATCAAAAATTCGGCCGCCGCAGCCTGGATTCGATCCCGCGACCTGCAGCCGAGTACCTTCGCCACTAGAACACCGCGGCGGGGCCAAATATCCGGTTTTATAATGCATTGTTTACTCAACAAAAAGTGAATGAAGGCCGAGTGATTTCTCAGTCACAGCGTAGCCTAAATGTGCTTTGATGACAAGACTGCATCCGTTTTCGGGAATCATTGCGCAACTGACTATTTCCCCCGTCAAAGGCAACGTATTATGGATCAAAGTTCAATTAAAAACAGCACGGTAAGCGAATGCGAAAAAACAACTCACGAATGGCTCTCGATGATGACGAGACGAAACACTCCCCCGTGTCATCATCGACAGCGTCCGAAAAGCAGAGTGTGCCCACTACTTGGGAACAACGCAGTTCGTCTACGTCGTCAGAAAGAGAAGAGTTCAGTTCCTCCGAGCTCATAACTAGTCAGCACCACGTGCTACACGGTTTGTAGCATCTCGCTTTCTAATCATCCCTCGATTCTCTTGACTGTCAATACAAGCGCAGCCAGCCTTGTTTGAGGTGCAGCCTGCCCAGCTGCAAGGGCACACGCCTCTGACACAGCCAACACAACAACGAGTCCAACGATTATTTTACCAAAAACAATCGTTGAACCTTCCAGCGAGTTTCACTGCCGTCGTCTTACAGGCTGACACAGTTTTCGCAGTAGACTCCGCATCCTACTCTCCCAAGTGCCATGTTTTTGAATAATGAAATTTATCAATTGGGAGCATTGGCGCTGTCATAGCGGATGATGGGGCGCTGTCGGCACTGTCGTCATTGGGTAAATACTCAAGAAAGTTTCATACAATAGAAAAGTTAATTATCTGACTCCAGTAATGACCATACCCCAATTTAGCATCTGTCGTAGTACCAGCAAATATATCTATTACACGGGTGGCTGGGGATCGTCGTTTCTGTCAAAATAGCGAAACCGAAACCTTACTGAGCTCTGAAGCATTTTAATCTGGCGCACACACAGCAGCTGCCACACAATGCGAAGGAAGCTTTTTAAAACGCGAAAGTTTTTGAGTCGTATTTACGCGTCGATATTTTTGCCTGTGCTTTTTTTAATCTTGTGGTGATACATATCTGCGGGTGCTCGATGCTTGTTTTTGTTCGTTCGCCTTGCGCAGTGCTTGCGCGCATCTATGCCATCTATGCGCACTCAGCCCACACTTCCAGCGCATTGAAGCCTGTGCTTAGCGCGACATGTCTTCCGATAGTAGAACCTATTTTCGGTCGAAAACCACGCACCATCACTCTGGAAGCAGAGTCGCTTCGTCGTACGAGCATGATGACGTTTTTGTGCTGTCGCGGATATGAATAGCGAGAGGTAAGCGGTCATTGTGAAACATTGAAAACTGGGGTCGATGCTTTGTTGCATTACATAAAAGTGTTGCCAAGAAGCTATATGATGTGTGGACTGCATTAGAACTTTAAAAGCTATTGTTGGATTGCCCTTACTGTACGTGGTGTACTTGTATACGCCAGTGGATCACACAACTGCCGTTTCCTCTTTTTCCTTTTTTTCCCAGAAATTATTCAAACTGACGAATGGCAGTAGAAATATTTGACGCCGACCATTTGGCCATATCTGCCATCGTTACCGTCGGACTGCAGTTTATTTTCTTTGTCATCGCAGCAACATTTCATTTCGACAAGTTAACAGATTTCGCTGGTGGTGCCAACTTTATTATACTGGCCTTGACTGTATTTATTCTGTCACAGGTATGTATCCCTTACATATGTCGGTCGTTACTTTTGAAACAGTTGCATTTTCGTAGCGGCACGCATTCATGTACGTGTGCACCATTAGAAATAGCAACGAGATAAGAAATGCCCTTTATTAGAACGCAAAGAAGGTTTTTTTTTTTTTTTCACTCCCTGCTGATATGTTACTTATCTAGATATGGGAATAGGGTAAATATAAAGTGTCTAAGGAAAAGAAGGGAAAACCACATCTACAAATAAACATGATAATAATAATCACAAGTAAGATGAGTGCGTGAAATTCTGCCTTTATTATATCGCAAATCAAACAGCTAAAATTTTTAATGAGGCCAATTCCTGTAAGACAGTTTACAAAGTAATCCGAGGCCTCTTTTGATAAAGCTGCAAGGCATATGCTAATGACTTCATAATGTATCATATAGGTTATGTTCGTTTGACAATCACAGCAAAAATCTTGTTCATTATCAGTAGCACATAAATGAATATTGAAAACGCATAGCAAGGAATGGCAAAAACATTGAGTTGTTTTCTTGTTCCTTTGTCTATTGCTTATAACGAATGCGTACCGACTCATCCAACTTTCATTCAAAAATTTTTCTCGACAACATCGAAGGCATTCAAATATTATGTTTTTCACAGTTTCTAAACATTCAGTCATATTTATCACAGTAGGTATGTACAGTACCCTAAGCAACGTAAATATAGCTCTTCATCAATGCTATATTCAATTGAAGCCAATCATGTAATGTCTCTCATTTTTCATTTTATTTCTTGTTTAGCGTGTCTTAGGAAGTAGTGCTTCTGAGCTGCCCAAATGGACTTTAGTAAAAAAACTTGAAATATTGTTTTGTAAAATGTCGCATATTGAACTTGCAATATAACAAATTATTTGTATTCACTTGGATTCATCATCATCGTCATCCTCAGCCTATGCTAGGTACCTTGCAGGAGGAAGGCCACTTCCAAATGATGTCCACTGTCATGTGCCAGCTGATTTCATTATGTGCCTGCAAACTTCCTAATTTGATCATCCCACCTAACTTGCAACAAACTTTGGTGGCACCATATGGTGGTTTTGGGATATTAAACCCTACAGATCAATCAATCAACTTTGGTGGCATTTCCTATAACTCAGTATATCCATTCCATTGTTTCAAGTGACTGCCCATTATCTGTCCTATGCATTGTTGGCCAGCCCAGGTATCTCTCTCTCGCTTGCATAATGTCAATTAGAATATTGGCCACCAATGTTTGTACCCTGATCCATTCTCCTGTCTTTCTCTCTCTCAATGTCACTACTCATATTATACTCAATTTTTAAGAACCCTCATTGCTCAGCAGCTTCACCTTTTCATACTAGATTACATACCTTAAATTTCTTTATTGCATACTTACATCTTTCCTAGTCCCTCAAAAAAACTGTATTGAATATATAGCTCAACTAGTTCACAGCCAAGGAAGACAAGTGCAGTGGAGCTCTGGATGTGAAATTGGAGACTCATCACTTGTACCCAGTTGTGACTGCTTCATATGACACCAGTTATTGTTAGCTTATGTTCACACACATACCACAACCTGGCTGCCAAAAGCCCTGACCATTCAGCTCTCGACGATATAAAAGGGAGCATTGTCACCCATCCAAGATAAGCAAACGATTGGGAGAAGCACTTTGAGCTATCAACAACACAGTCATTGTATGACCTTCGAACACCACATAAAGTTGGCAGTTTGTGGTGCCATATGACCACCACCTCCACCTTTATTAGCATGGCGAGTCTCATTTTCACATCTGCGGCTGCACTCTGCATGGACTTTCCTTGGATAGCATACAAGGAGCTATAATTAATTATTTATGAAACCCTGTAGAAACTGAGGCGGTGTACCATATATATATATATATATATATATATATATATATATATATATATATATATATATATATATATATATATATATATATATATATATATATATATATAATCGTGAGCTACCCAAAAACCGAGAAAAAAAATACAGCACGAAGTTGTGTTAGTACTCGTCTAATATCCCATAAAGCTTTCGTTTAAAAAGTTACGATGACTCTTACTTTGCTTAGATTGCAGTGAATGTAGCAGAGTGTTATTTTTTTATAGTATATTATTATTGCAAGCATGCTTTTAGCCAGCAACATGCATCCAAGCGATTGGTATCATGTGCTGAACTTTTCATAAAAAATTTCATCTCTGGATTATAGTGCATGCAGTTTTAAAAATATGCGTTTACTCGAGTCGTGCATGCTTGCGGCAATGAAGTATAATCTTTTTTGCAGCTGCCATTATCAACAAGTAACAAAGCTCCTTATTTTTTACCAGATTAGTATTTGCATTAATGTTTGCATATACTAAATAAGTAGACTAAATACCATACACATTTAATACCATAATACTATCAGTGCTATCATGTATTTTGTCAGTTTTGATTGCTGTCATGTAGTCACGACTGACAGCTAGTCTTTTGCACTTGTTCTGAACTAATGCCAAAGTTAATCATATTAATTTTATTTTTATTATTTATTTCAATTTCTTAAAGGCCTAGTAGAAATTATGTAGGAGGGCAGTAGTAATTATGCAATAAGGTATATAATGATCACATGTAACGAGGAGGTATATAATATATGAATACAGTACAAATGGTATTGCTACAAATAAAAAAAAGAGAACACCTAAATTGTTGTCTCTTTAAACAGTGATACTGTATTTTAAATATTGATTACTAGTAAGCAAACAAAATCATGATTTATTTGTGTTAAAAAAATTAAGACGGATTAGTAACCTTAAGCATTGGTGCATTAGTAAGGGTAACTATCTATTGTGGTAAAGAATTTTAATACTATTGTCAACACAGAGGATTATTCTGATATATTACTGTTCTTCCTAAAATTGGTTCTGCTTCACAATATACATAAAATATTTTCAACCCAAGAATATTTTGCACTGTAAAAGCTTAGTAATCTGTTAAGTGAAAAATAAAAAGTGATAAACACCATGTGGTGGCAAAGGCCATGCAGTGTGGAATGGTATGGTCAATATTAAATGTTATGCTACTGTTGTTAATTATTTGTCATCTTTGAGCATCATTGTGTCATTTCATTATTACGTGACACAAATTAACTTAATAATACAGAAAGTAAAAATTTAAAAGTGCAGTCGATGTTTCTTGGCTCTGGTGCAAAATATGGAACATGATATTTTTTTGGAAACTTTTAAAATGATATGCACTGTGTACATGTTCATAAGCTGCTTTTTTTTTCTTATGTAGCATAACATTTTTGAGGGTGCATTTCACTAGAATAGACATACTTTTAATACCTAATATTATTTTTAGCTCATTTGTAAAATGAACTGCATATAAGTATTTACAGTTACTCTAAAAATTAAAAATTCCTTTAACACAAGATATATATGTAGCTGAAAAAAAAAAAAAAAGTCAAGAATACTAAGTCACGATTGTCTCTTTCAGACATATAGCCCAAGGCAATGCCTCATCACTGGTCTCGTCTGTCTGTGGGGTGTGCGTTTATCAACGTTTCTTCTTTTCCGGATCATCAAAATTGGTAGAGATGAGAGGTTTCAAGAAGCTAGCAAGAATATTGCTCGTTTCGCCATCTTCTGGACCTTCCAGGTTGGTTGAAATTCAGCAATGGCAATCAATGGAAAGTTCTTCGTAGTTTGCCAAACCGAGCCACTGCAGCTTTGATCTCATTAGACAATGACTGGGAGACTGATTTCGATTCATTCCAGATGGCAATCAGCCTTTTGCACTACTTCTGCTATGATGGTTTGTCATCATAATAGCAGTGGTACGGTGGCTAGAATAGGGAGGTGGGCGGAGCGCCACGCGTTTCCCTTGCCAGAGAGGGTCCCTCTGCACGCTGATGCCGCTATAAGAGCTCTTGCAAGGGGCGCTGCATGGTACAGCTACCACCGTCACAAATCACCTGAAGGAAACCTAGCACTCAACACCGTAGCATTCTTTCTCCCCCTTTTTTTTCGGTGTTTGTGTGGTTTTTATTGTACGTGGATCATACATTTTTGTGAATTGAAAACAATGCCCTATAAAACAATGAAAAAAGTTTAACATTCTTGCTTCATTCCTGACTGCAACTTTTGGGGCAGGTAGGGGTCTGCAAAAGTTCTAAAAGCTCGAATAACGGATCAAATGGTTTTTATTCAATTCAGTACTCACGAATCGAATAGCACATATTTGTAATGCTGAGTATTTTTCCGAGCATTTAGCACTGGCGGAAAACTCCAGAGGACTAGGAGCAACACATATTAGAACGAGACAGCACTTATTTGTTTTAATTGGTGAAGTTTTGTTTAAATGGTGGCAACAAAGAACCTCCTTGAATTCTGAACTAACCACTGTATTTGAGTGAGCAGTTAAAAAATTTTTATTGCCTGTCACTGCCTATATGAGTTTACCCCATTTAACCTAAGAATGGCATTTTTTCTGGTTAAAATTAATCCTAATGATCCTTTTGTTAATGTTTCTGACTAATAATTCCAAATGAAATATTGTTGAAGCATAAAACTGCTCTGAAAATCATTCTCTTACTATTCGAATATTATTCAATGTGTATTTGTATTCGATACCCTGTCATTTATGCTGTTTTTTTCCTATTCGATCTGGTTCGTTCACTTACTATTCGAATATTATTCAGTGTGTATTTGTATTCGATTCACTGTAATTGGCTATTTGCACAGACCTATGAGTACATGTCACCGGCAGAAAAAGCATCTGTTTCGTGCACTAGTGTGCAACAGGCTGTTTGAGATGTGGGCTCAAGTGACACTGAGAGTTGATGCTGAATGAGTGGTGCCCACTTCCTCTATTACATTGCTTGCTGTATGTGACAATAGATCATATTCTTTGTATCAGCTGTCAACTAGACAAAGCAGCTTGCCTCAACATCAAAGAAAATGGCACCCCAATTCTGGTACCAAGTGGGACCATGATGGTGGGTGTACCACTTAATTGAGCATCTTGAGAACAAGCTGACTATTGTTTAGACGGCTTGCATCTACGCCCCGCCGCGGTGGTTTAGTGGCTAAGGTACTCGGCTGCTGACCCGCATGTCGCGGGTTCGAATTCCGGCTGCGGCGGCTGCATTTCCGATGGAGGCGGAAATGTTGTAGGCCCGTGTGCTCAGATTTGGGTGCACGTTAAAGAACCCCAGGTGGTCGAAATTTCCGGAGTCCTCCACTATGGCGTCTCTCATAATCATATGGTGGTTTTGGGACGTTAAACCCCACATATCATCATATCAGGCTTGCATCTACCCAGCCTGCTGCAGACATTTAGCAAATGATTGGGTAAATGTCACATGTTGGTTGCTCTGAGCATGTCATTATGTGAATGCAGTCAGTTACTACATGCTTTAATTGCTTAACTCACTGCATTCATTTATAAACGAAACGTAGCTTTTTCTGGAGACTGCTTTTTATTGCACAGATCAAAAAAACTTTGTTCATGTGCGAATGTGTTTTTTTTGATAATTTTTTTACTGCCACCAAAACGTACACACGACGTATTGAGTAGCATTTAGGGGATAGTAACAGGTCCAAAAGAGCAGGCAAGTTCTTAACAATATGAATGGGCATTGCATATGACTTCAATGAGTTGCAGTGATGCATAATTTCAATTAGCAAAATGGCAGGACAGAAGCTAAAGAAGCAAAAGAAACACGGTGCTCAAATTAAGTGAGATGCCTCGAATGATATCACTAGCGTGCAGTGCTGCTCGTTATCAGCCTGCTGCATGATAATGCATGTGAACGCTATTTTTCAAAGGACATGAAGTCAACACCTTATTATTGCCCATGCTGAAAAACAAATCAATTAGCATTTGAAAGTGTAGCATGCAAAAGATATGGTGAGCCATGTTCCTCGAGCACAAGCGAAGCTGCGCTGTACGTCGTATGCTCAAACCACACGCCCCTGCGTACAGCGCCCCTTGTGGCATCGGTGCATTTTGGCGGCCGTTTTTCGAGGGCACTTTTCACACCTCCCTATTCCAAACAACCTAGCAGTCGCTTGATTTGTGAGTAGGCAGATCTCTAGTGTTTGCATCACAATAAACAAGCACCTTCATTCATGTGTACGCTTATGTCAATTATCGGTACTTGAACAGCATTCATTTCACTGCTTATTTGGTCCCGTGCTTGCAAAAAGTAGAGTGTATTGTTGTTCAAAAGTTACACTTATTTAATTTTGCATATGTATTCTTTATAAATATGGCAATGCTCATTGAAGGGAATTGGAAGGCACCAGAAAAATTTGTTCTGTTTAACAGGAGTTCTGGTCACTGAGAGTTGAACAGGGCTGCAGAATACAAGCCTACAAGCAATCATATAAAAGGCAACTGTTCCTCAAGCCACTGTACAATTTAAGAGATCTCCATTCACTGAGAGTTTAGTGTGAAGCGTTAGCAAGAAATTTTGTTACCGATAATTTATTCACATCAACCAGCTTCATGTTGGACATCACTCAGGACGGGGAAAGAAGGAAAGGCAGGGTGGTCAACCAGATGCACTTCTGGTTGACTATCCTGCACTGAGGGGAAAAGGTGAAGAAATAAAAATAAAGAAATAATAAGGAAGGAGCCACTGTCAAGATACATGTGCACCTGTCCATTATGCACCTACGAGTGATCGCTTTACCCGTTTGATTTTAGAAACAGTACCAACTTCAGCATTATCTTGCTGGCCTGCAACATGTAGCCCCATAATCTGAGGATCTTCTCTTTTGAAAATGGTCTGTCATCTAGTTTATCCAGCACATTGTCAGTCAGAAGTTTTATATGGCTGTGATGAAAGCTGATGCAGTGATGCTGCAACTCATCCAATATGGAAGACCATCACTCGGAGTTTGCTTGAAAGGGTAATTATTTATTACAGAATAAAAGCAATTCTACTTCTATTTCCCTAGGATATGTGACACTTCATGGTGCACCTTTCTAACCAATGTAATCTGTAAGTGTTGATTCTCATGTCACATTTCACTATCCTCACACTGGAGGTCAGTGCAGAGTGTGTGCAACTATAGTGGTAAAAGCTGATGACTGTCCAGTCCATGCCTCTTATAACACAATGCCTGGAACATGATTCGCAAATGCACTGCCCTTTTATCACCTATTCTCTCCTCCTTTTTAACACAGAGGTCAGCACCTCTTCCAGCATTTCCTTGTAAACATGCACAGCCCTCACAACTTCTCCCGAGTTGCTGCCAACATCATGTCATATGACTAAGTGGTACAGGAATCGAGCGCTCTCTCACGCTACCTGGTCACAACATGCACCATGAGGTGTAGCCTCCACAATTGGCAGCGATGTTGATTGATGTGTGGGGTTTAATGTCCCAAAACCACTATATGATTATGAGAGACGCCGTAGTGAAGGGCTCCGGAAGTTTCGACCACCTGAGGTTCTTTAACGCGCACCCAAATTTGAGCACACGGGCCTACAACATTTCCGTTATCGGAAATACAGCCGCCGCAGCCGAGATTCGATCCCGCGACCTGCGGGTCAGCAGCCGAGTACCTTAGCCACTAGACCACCGCGGCGGAGCGATTGGCAGCGATTTTCCATGGGCATATAGTTAAAGATGGTGTTCGTTGAGTACAGTGTTTCTTGCATGAGAACTCCTAAGAACATGTTGAACAAGCTATCACTGAGAACGCACAGGGAGCTTAAGTGTTGAAGCATCATAAAAAAAACTGCCGAGAAACAGCTGCTTAATTAGTACTCCCAAACAATGTAAGAAATTACTCATACGTCTTTGCTGTCTTTTATGTACCAGTTCTCAGAATTGGCAAACATCTACCTAGGGTCTTTTTTTTTTTGTTAATCAAATACTTGACCCTTTAACTCCTGATGAACAAAGTAAAGAGCGAAAAAAGGATAATGTGGTCTAAGGCAGACAAACGGCAGGTACTTGTCATCTGTCCATCCTAGTGCACATTCTTTTTCCCGCTTTACCCTCATTTATCATGAAACACCAACTAGCCCAAACAACCACCTTTCTCATTTAACTCTTGCATGAGGTAAGAGGGCGTTGCGCTTGGTCAGTACTTGAAAGTCCATGTGGGAATGCTGACAAGGCATTCTGCTTTCTTCATTCCCACTGCATGAATAGTGCCTACCTAGTGCAATTCATATTCTCGACTACAGAAAATAGGCACCTTTTTTGCAACCCTTGCCAATTGTAATTATTTTATGCTTCACTGAAGACACAATGTAGTAGCTCATTTTTAACCTGGTTATTCATTATTCCTGACCAGCTTATATTTTTTTTATTATTAAGCATTCAGACTATTGTACTTCAAACTTATGTACACATTTAGAGAAAAACTAGTTTAAAAAGCATTTTCCTATCATTTTTTTAATTATTTGAATAAATATTTGGCATGTTGTTTAAAGGGCCGGTCAACAGGCTCCGACTTTTTTTTTTACACCCCCCAAACAAACTCGCGAATTCGTAGAGTATACTGCCGCGATCACGTTTTCTGAATATTACAATGCTGTGCACCCCGCTGAGCCTCTATTTCGAAAAACTATTCCCGCACATCTTTCTTACGCCTCACCAACCTCCTTCCACGCGCAGTGAGGTCAACTCGGCAATGGGCAACGTGATGCAGCACGCAGCTCGTTGATTGGTCTAAACCAGGTCTCAACAAACAGTAGTGAAGTCAATGTCAGTTCCTGTTGCCACCCACTGCTATGAAACTGCCCCTTTTTGGGCCTCACAGCGCTTTCGCGCACATGCATGCACGTGCTTCGCCCTCGACATGAGCAAATTGAGGAAAAGTGTTGCTCCATAGGCGGAGTCACGACGACAGGCTGCGTGACTGGGTACACCTTCACCTCCATGTGAGGGAGAAGGGTGGCGAGAGAGTGCGAAAATTTGAAACTAATGTTCTAACTCCTGTAACTTCTTAAATATAGCACGTATTCGCAAAATTTCTGCGGGAGCATGTTCACAAAGCAACAGTGCACGTATTTCTCTTTATAACAATTTTTTGGACCTTGACGTTGTTTACTGTCCCTTCAAAGGCCAACTCCAGCTATTTTTTGACCATGCCAGGATAATGGTTCTTTTATGTTCCTTAGACACTGTTCTCACATGCCCGATAACTGAAATGCTCAAAAACTTTGAAAATAATTTTTAATTACCGAAAAAACACAACACAGAAGCTGAAACCCAACCGAGTGCGCTTCTACGTGTGATGTAAAGATTTGCCTAATGCTGCTGGAACCTGCCTGATTGCACATAATGCCTGCCACATGGCACTATCTGTCCACGCCATCCGCGACGATTGGCTAAAACACTTGCACTGTTATGGTGAATATATGGCAAATCGTGTGTGGCTCGAGCACAACGCAATACCACTTGGCACCTATCGTATGCCCACCAACATGGGAAAGGAAATCGCACGCTCAACCAAGGAAGTGCCGGCCAAACCCACACAATTCATAGCAGACAAGCAAACACTGCAGTGGCACATCAGTTCGTCATTTCTGCCACGCAAAACTCTACGTCACACACAATGTTGCCATTAATTCTGGCAAGTGAGGTGAGCGTTTTGGGGCAAGCTATAAAATTCATTTGAAAATAATCTGCTAAACTCTCAAGCCTGCAATTTGGCATGAATAGCACAAACGTGCAAATTAATGTACCCAGTGAATTTCATTGAGATCCACTGACCTCGAAAAATCGCCATAGTTGGCCTTTAAGGCTTCTTACGTGATAATAGTGGTACAGTTGAAGCTAAGTTTAATGAAATGATGACCATGCTCAAATTATTTTGTTAAATCATAATGTTTGTAAAATTAGGAATAGAATTTTTTGGTCCTTCAAAATGTAAAATTGTAATGTAGCAACACCCTAAAGCCACCACAATATTGTATACGATGCTAACCAATACCCGAGCATGTGGAAAGTCTTCAAGGTTCACCCATGCATGAAGCATCTCACATCGTCTTGATATGGCGCCTCCCACGTCCGGGCGATACAGGCAAAATAGACAATCACGCGAAGCAGTCATAGGCTGCCGATATGCAAAGGCAGGTAGAATGAATGGAGTAATTGTGCAAGAAGGCTGAGCAAGCAAGTTGTGAGGAAACCATCAGTGCTATCTGTGCAAGGAACTAAAGCAACCACCACAGAGTTCCTGTAAGAGCATTTACCTTGACTATAAACCATCATTGCTTTTAGGGGCATCTAATGTGTAAGAGTGCGATTGACTGTCGAGTTAGTTCTGTGCATGGATGCAGCATGCAGGCTCACGAAAATAATACTACGGTCATTACTATAATCACTACCTGTTTTAATGTAATAGCATTATTGTGCAAATTTAAAGAAAAGCTCATTTGTTTTGGAATTAGAAAAAATTGCCACTTTTTTACTAATTTACGTTGGAAAAAACTTCATTCCATTAGGTTTCGGGCCAAGTTGGCTTTGTTAAATTAGTTTGATAACAACATTGAATCCTGCGGGTACCCGCCAGTGAATGGAAATTATTTCTTCTTTAGATCGAAAACTTTGTAAAAACAATTTGGTTTCGCTAGATCGAGTTTTCATTCTATATGAAAAGTTCCACATTTTTACTTCTCAGTTTTGGTGAAATAAGCCTGTTGCATCATAAAGGATTTCATGTTTTTTAGTTCTTCGTTATTTAATAAGTTGTACTGGTCACCATCAAAGTTGTAAAATGCATCAAAAATACTGAAAGCAATTATAATGCTGCATGAAATATTAAAAAGTTAGCTTCAATACTAAGCTTGTAATCATTCAAATAAAAAAACTGTGTTAAAGCATGACTTTACAAACATTTTTTTTTTTAACGCTCTAAAGTAGTGTTGCTATACTCATCGCTGTATTCTTATCTGTCAAAGCTCTTGTAACAGACAGGCATAGCATGTAGGAAAGACATATGTCACATTACCATGTTGCAGTGTCACCATTTGACAGACTTATTAAAAGCAATATCTGTCAATGAGACCTCAATACCAACATGTCTCAATGCTAGAGAGTGGGTTAAAGGCAAATGACTATTTCTTGCTGTATTACTACAAATTATAGGTATTGAAGTTCTTAATGCACTGACCTTGTGCCCATAAACGCCTCTTTCACTCCTGTATGTCTGTATAGAGAGTGTTTTTTTTTAAACAATACAGATTTTTTATCAAAATTCTGTGGTACTTTGTGTCTAAGGTGGAAATACTTTGCTGTAGCTAAAATAACTTGGAGTGACCAATTACCAAAAACTGGATAATTGAAATTCTTATTATTTGCTTGAGGGCGACTGTTTATATTAGAAAGTTGTATTGCATGACAATTTATGGTGTTTGCTTTCTGAGAAATTGCAAAAGTTAAATGTAGTCTGAGATATTTATTATTGAATTTTAAGGGTGGTATTGAAACTGATCATGCCATGCACATAAAAAACTCAGTTACTTTGTTACGTCAAACTAGAATGACTGTTGACAAGGAAGAACGCCAAACTTTTTGGTGTCGTTAGTTAACATGGCAGGTAACGTTTCCTTAATTAATTCTAAATAAATTCAGTGCCGACACATATGTACCATTAGCAATGTAAGCCCGCATTGGTAGGAGAAAACTTGGCAGCATAGCATGCATGCTTTTTTCTTTTCACTAAATGCTTTTAGTGGGCATTGTACCAAGGAGCAGGAAAGGTTCTGCAAGAGAATGCATTTGTTTTCGAGGTTGTGGATTTCAGAGTTTTGAAAATTGGCCAGTTGTTATGAACAGTTCGATCTTCAAAGTTATTATTGCCTCAAAATTAGCCTTTTTTTATATAACACATATGACTTTGTTATAATACATGCTTTTTTGAAATAGGAGTCTTAATAGTAAATTTTGGAAGTAAGTGGTCACTTAGGCCAGGTAAATACAAAATATTATAGCACAAGCTTAGTACAGGATGTTAAGTCGAGTGTGTTAGCTGTTTCATTTGCCAGTCTGGTTGGTTGGAAAGTGAAATGCTGTGAAAAAGTGAACTAACTGTGATAGAGTGAACGATGATTACTGATTCAAGAAGAAGAAGAACATAAAGGCTGTTGCTGAATCAAGAAGATTCGAGTCAAAGATTCAGTCGATTCGATGGACAGCAGATGAACTATAGGCGACACTGAAGACCATTGTATGTTTGTAAAGTTGAAATCTCCAATAAAGGAAAAAGGGATTGTCCAGCATGATAAAGTGTAGCCGTTTGTTTGCACATGAGGTAGCGATTACTCCATTCTTGCTAGTGTTGTAAGCCTACTTTTGAGTGCCATGGACTTGTAGTTAATGGTGGAAATGAAGATGTCAGCTGCCTTGTGCATGTGTGTCTGTCATAAGAGCCTTCAAATGGAAACTCAAATAAGGTATGAGCTGAGGCATGATGAAATGCAGGCGGTGTGGGTGTACACTGTCAGCCTGCCTGTCATCTTTGTAAACTCCCCGCGCAAGGCCGAGCCCCTGACGGATGCCACCATGACCCGGCTTGACATGGCCGGCACTATTGTGTTTGTCATTGGCTTCCTCTGCGAGGCCATGGCAGATGCCCAGAAGTACAGCTACCGGCAGAACACGTCCAATGCCAGGCATTGGTGCGACGTTGGTGAGTAGTGGCAGTACCTGACCCATGCTGATATGCATATGTAGGCTCGAGTGCATTTGTGTATGACACTTATGCACAAAGTTTATTATAAAATATGGAGGCCATAATGCATGGGGCAAATGCCATCTCTGGACTACGTTGTTTGAAACTCGTACGCTACTTGTGGCAGTTTGAAGCTATTGGTAGTGAATCAAATTGACTTTGTCATTGTGCCAAGAAGATAATAGCCATATTTATAGATGACCCAGATATAGGTTTGGTTGAACACTGTATGGTTTTGACAAAGGCAGTACTCATATCAAAGACCCTTTTCTAGAATTGCTAAGTGGGCTTTTTCTGGAGCATCACTGCTTGAGTTATATGTCAACGAACACAATATTAGAAAGAATTGTCTGTGTACTCTTGCTGTTGTGTACTACAAATCTGTACAGCATTTAAAATAACCCTGCATACAAGTGTCAACATGTGGATCACTTACAAGTATTCTTTTTTAATGAGCACTGCTATTGGGGCATTGCAGCAGGATACTATAAAGACTATTGTAATGTTTTTACAAGGTATTATATTCTGAGGTTGTTTTAAATATTTATACAAAGCACAATTAAGTAAGCAGTGATATATTTTGATTGGAATCCTTATATTCTAAAAAGCATGGCCAGTTGTCTGCATAATACAGCTTTTCTGTTTTTTCTGAATAACACAGCCATCTGTGTTCTACACGTTCTTTGTAACCCTCGCACACCTATATACAATTGCTTGTCCTGCACTTTTTACTGATGTCTACTATCTTCACCTAGCTGCCACAGAACAACCTGTGTGAAAGTAAGGCCTGATTCAGTTTCTAATTATTTAAGTTAACTCAGGTCAAGAGCTAAGCTGATCACAAGTGCACTCCAGTGACATGTATACTGTATACATACAGCATACACGTCACGTTTATTTGCTGTCAGTAAATCGGGGCATATGTTGTCGATTCACTTAGCTGTTTCACTAGTTAGCTGTTTCAATAGAGCACAAATTTAAGTTCGTTACGGTTAGTGCTGTGACCTCTATCAAGCACATTATATTATAGCATTTTGTGAAAACAGCTGAAGCCATGTTCTGTGTTCAAGACATAACTTTTTTTTATTGTGCTTGCTGCAGGGTTGTGGAAGTACTCGCGGCACCCCAACTACTTTGGGGAAATCACACTCTGGTGGGGAATCTTCCTGATCTCCACAAACGTACTTAGGGGGGCCGAGTGGGTGGCCGTACTCAGCCCCCTTTTCATCTCAGCTATCATCCTTTTTCTCAGTGGAGTGCCCCTGCTGGAGAACAGCGCCGACATACGCTATGGCTGGTGCGTGCCACATGTTTAATAAGCCCTGTACCACTTCACCTTTTATGAACCGCATTCAACTTGGGGACACAGTGCATGCTGTGCACCCAAGTAGAATACTAGTTGCACAAGTGCCATATATTACAATTTCTCAAAGAAACAATCAGGTGAGGAATATAGATCACTCAGTGTTTGAGCGAGCCATACTTTGAGTGAGAGTGAAAGTCATTCACTCACACATGACTACATAACAGGCTTTTCTTGGAACATCGCTAACTATGATACATAACTTTATCCAATATTTGGAAATGTGCTGCCTAGGAAAGGAGAACATGGAATGTTTTCCAGCCTCCGGAAGCTGGGAAAATACAGGAAAGGTGTGCTGCTTGTAGATGCTAGCCGAAGAAAAAAGAGAAGGCGTAGCTTTGGCAGTCAATTAAGCTTGCCTTCAGTAAGCATAGTCAACGCAAGGCATTGGCATAATAGGACAGATATATTTCTTCTAGCTCCTCTAATAATGAACCGATTTGAAAAATCGTCTCATTGTTAAACAGTGAAATGCTCCTCAGACAGCAACGTAGAACTTTCAGTGTGTAGCCATAATTTGGAATGAAACCTGGCAAGAGGCTGTCTGAATACAGCCTCTTCAGTCGAACCCCTTCATAAGAGACACTGATATAAGAGGCAAATGAGTATGAGAGGTGCCAGTGTGCTTACATTAAAATATGAGTTTATAAGAAAATGCATAGAAAGTTCTCTGCTTATAAGAGACATCTCATATAAATACAAGCATTGCTGCCCAGAGCATTCCTCTTATAAAGGGCTGTAGTCCCGTGAGAGAATTTGAACCCAGATTCCTGATGTCGTGTCTCATGGCTCTTATGCCACTTAAATGTTTCTAAAAAGTTCAGATAGCTCAAAGCCATGACCCACACTTTCTTCTCACTCACTGATAAATATAGTCCTGAAGGTGGTCATCACGGGATCAAAAGGAGCTGATAGGGTGCGATCTGTACTTATGACAAACCTCTCTATTCTCATAGTACTGTCACATCTATTCCATCATCAAGAGAATGACCTTTTTCTACAGACATTTTTTTTTTTTTGCATTACAGGTATAGAAACATGTGATGTTCTGACATTTCATGAGCAGCATATAGCTTGTAAGTGGCTTTAATAGAGAAGGGACTGCCTCTTTCCACAGAGAGCATGTACAATGGGTTACTCTGTTACACATCATAAGAAATCAAAATTCGTCGGGAGTCAACATGACTCCAAGATAATTAAAAATGAAATGCACAACACCACAAAACAAACCTCACTTGTATAAGGGTTTACACAGTCCATGAATGTATGCTTGTGAACCACTGGCTAAAGCGTAATAAAAACTGAAACACACTAAAAGCAGCAGTAGTATAGTGCAGGGGGCCAAACTTTATCACTCTTGAATAATTTTTCAAAGACTCTTAAAACTTTTATTGACTCTTAAAATGTTCAAATAACTGTGGTTAGTCACAGAAATATTGTTCTAAAATTAAAACAAAGTTTAGCACTTTTGTGCTCTCATCATTGGAAAGGTGCTGACTATGCTACTGTACAGGTATTTTTTTCTTGCATGTTAAGTTTAGCTTATTTTTATAGGAAGCAAAACGAAACATTTACAGTATTCCATAAAATTCAACCATAGAAAGTTCTCCAAAACAAAGACTATGTAATGCAAAGTAGAAACAATTTTTTAATGCAAGATTTTTAAATTCATAATGGTAAAATAATCCCTTCAACGCTTCGAGGCTGTGCCATTTCATTTTTACTTCAAATATATAGTTTTTTCATTCCATTCACATATATGGCCGACATAATTTTTCTGGAACAATCGAACATATGAGAAGCCTTCTTGTCTACTGCATTCTTTCATAAAGATGGCCTCAAGCTTGTGTTTATTTTTCACAGTTTTTTTTTATGCACTCCTACATTCTCTGTCAACCTATATGCACATTATTCAACTCACTTTTTTAAATTGTATGGCAAGAACATTGGGCATGGATAGCACGAACAGCTATAGCCGGCATCATGGAAGAAAATGCTGTGTTAGTATCTTGTTCTGGGCTGAGAAAGGCCTTAAGTGCGAGCAATTTTTTCTCGCACTCACTCACCATGGGCCGTGTCCTTTACTTTTATGAAACAGAGCATGTTTCCACAGTTGTACTGTGTGCCAAACATTAGGGCCATTTTGCAGATTCAGGAACAAAGTGTACAACATGCACAAAAAAGCTGTCAATAAAAATACTAAAGAAGTTTGCTACCAAAATAGCTGTGTATTGATGTATTGAGAGAGGCACACATAATCATTTTTGAGACCAAAATGAGAAGTTTGTGTATGCAATTGAAGTTAATTTCAATAGTATACATGTCTAGGATATTTCATATACCTTTGGACAATGTTTCAAATAATGACTTATTCTCAGTTTTATAAGACAATGTCACAGTGTGTGGTGGACTACGGTGGACTACTATAGTTTTAAATTATATTTTGTCTTTGAACATTTGACTTTTCACTGTTTTAAAGCATAATTTCATGTTTTGAAAACATTCATGACTATAACAATATGTGACACTGTTGTTTTATCCAGCATGGAGGAGTACCAGCGCTACAAGCGAACCACCAGCCCCTTGGTGCCAATGCCTCCAGGCCTCTACAGGGAGGTGCCGTCGTGTTTCAAGTGTCTAATTTGCTTTGAGTTCCCCATATATACAAATTCAAAGGCCATTGCAACATCTATATAATATAAGTTGCATTGCCAATACATTCTTTCTACAGGGAAACAAAAACTGTGGTAATATGCTTGCCCTGGGATAAATAGAAGCAGTTATACAAATTTCACTGCAATAATATCCACTCAGAGACAACTTAGCAGAGTGGCAGTTTCTGGCCAATTATTTATGCATACTGAGGTAATGAAGTTTACAGTGTGGACAAAGACACCTACTAGAGGATAAAATGCTGTGCATGTAAACTTGCCAGTTGGTGTCTCAGTGTATGTTTGTCTTCTTATTTCTACTGAAGTTATTTATGCCTAGAGGTCCACAGTAGAAAGATAGGAATATATGTACATATTTATGTTTATGTTTTATTTGAAAATCTACCTAAAAGCTGGTTTCCAGAGTTTTAATGTTCTACTGTACATTTGTATATACCGCATTTAATGTTCAAATGCCGAGCTAAATGTGTGTACTCAGAGGCAATGATAATGAAAGTCTTCATGAGACTTGTAGCTCCAGCATGCATGTTCTGTTTGTGATATGTCTTATGTGCCACAAAGGGTGCACTTTCTTCTTGCTGGGGTGTACAAGTGGGTGTGTCAGTAAAGATTCAGGGCTGGAACATTTGTTGGAAGTCAGCGCTTCGTCCTGTCTCGTCTTCTTTATTTTTTTTGTTAATTCAGTGTGCTGGTCCTTCTCATAATGGTGTTTTCTTCTGTCTCTTGAACAAACTTTTCATCATGTATTTTCTGCTTGTTGTGTTATGTCAACAATAAGTACACAGTTGGCTGCTCATTTTGCTCAAAATAGATTTGCTGGTTTTCAGCTAAAGTACACAGTCAACTTTTAATTTGTGTTTCTTTAAATTATTTATAGTCTTAATCATTAACAATTCATTGCAGCTTCCAAGAGTTTACTAAGTTCAACATTTATCTTCTGAGGCTGTGTGTGTGTTAGCTTATCCATGCACATGGGAAAGTTGTGTATTCTTGCAATGTGCGGCAGAGCATGGCGTTAGCACTCTAAGCACGTTCAGTCATAGCTGCTGGGCCTCTTTGTTACTGCCTCTTCAAATCCCTGGAAGTCTCACTTGTGGTGTGGCATAACTGAAACTTGGAGTTTCTTTACCGCATGGTCAGTGGCTTGCCCATCTCTTCTCTGCTATCCATAGTTGATGCATACCTGAAGGCTGATGTTTCTTGAAATAGATCAATTTCTGCAATTGAGAACTTAATTGGGCATTTTTTGACCATGGACTGCACAGAAATAAGGCTGTACTTGCTTTACACAGCTTCTGTTTGTTTTGGCTTATCAGTATTTCCACACTTTTTACAGCTAGCTCAGTTTCCTTTCTATGTAAGAGAGTCTGCATAAATAGCAATAGTTCATTCCGGTATGGTATGAATTCTTAGCTTTACAACATCTCTAGTCTGAATTTAAAAAATGGGAAGCATTGGGTACTTTTTTCAAACATGTAAACATGGTCTTTTTAAACATGATCATTTTTTTAAAGAAAAATTATGCCAGGTTAATGGCTGTTGTCTGTTGTGTACATCACAACCAATAATCACTTCTTAGCTGTGCAGATGCTGGAACATTTGAAAGTAACACTGACGAACTAATAGCTTCGAGTGGCACACTCTTGTAATTATGTGACATGGAGAAGAAAACATAGTGGTTATTAAATTGGATATTTCCTAGTTTGTACACTTAAGCAGGATTCAATGTCAGGACAACTGTCAGATTATTGTAGGCTAGCAATAATTCAAAATTGAATCGTTTGCAGCTGCTCTAAATTAAGATACATTGCAGCTTGGGGTAGCCACCCCATTTTATGTACATTTAGACCATACTTTTGATTACACAGTTCAACATTTTTTGCCTTTCTTAGTCTGCAGAAATGCTTGGCTTCCTTGCTCAGTGATGATACGGAAAGTGCAGGTAAAATGAGATACGGAATATTTCAAAATGTGACAAGTTAACTTGGGATTTTATGTAATTTTATCTTCCAGTTTATCATTTATAGCATAAAAATGTCAGTGTGAGCCACGCCCACACAAATTTAAGTGCACATAGTGTACTGCAAAAAAGCTTTTTTAATGATCCCAAATAATATCCATGTTCATCCCTTCTGTTAAATAACTGCTGCATAATTAATTGTGATGGATAATTTTATGCCATTTCACACAAAGACTTCATTGAATATGTTGAATATGAAAAACAGCACTGGAAGGCTTTAGTGAAGGAGGAAGAGGAAATAGTTATCTTAAATAATAAAGTGCAAGAAGATGTAGTATTGCTTAACATAATTGACCCAGTAATGCAGGTCTTGCATGAGCTACATTAAACCTGATGAACCATAACTGAAGTGATGAAATAGTCAAGGAAATAGCAGAAGGAATACTACAAAGAAGCAATGATGAAATGGTAAGAGTATAAGGAATAGACAACTAATAAATTGATGTGCACATTCTGGATGTTTCCAACATCATTGTCAATGAGCCTTTCATTTTATTATATGATGCTAGGGCTCTAGAAAGCAGCTTACGTGTTTGTGAGATTTGGTTCACTAACTCTATAATGTCACCTCTACAGCAACTGTATATTGAGGGCACCACAATTTGAATAGTTCACTTGTATTTCATTATTTCATAATATTTCAGGGTGGAAAACATGGATGGCTAAAAACATTTACCACTTTAAATTTTCTCATCTGTTACAGGCTCTTCTGTTACCTCTGCAGCTTCTTTCCAATGCTGTTACAATTTATGTGACTGTGGGTTTAACTTCCCAGTGTACAGAAGCTACATAGTATACAGCTCAGTTTTAGAATTACTCTATAAAGATGAAGTGCAGTTGTAGTAGTTGTAGTCTAATAATGAAAGTGACATGCTGAATGGGCTAAGTGGATATTAACAAATGTATGAAGTTAGTAATTGTACAGTAGCCACTAATAGGCTGTAGTATAACTATACTGTTGTAACTGTTCCTATAATTGAAATCTCATTGCAGTTAGAAAAGACACTGCACACCTTATATTTAGTTATCCAAACTAATAGAATTCCGTCATTGGCCACTTTGCTTTATACTGCTGTTCAGGGGATTTCTCTTTCATTGTAGCAGTTGTGCACATAGTTATGAGCAAATGTCTGGAGATAATTGAAGCTGACACTATCTCAGGCAGCTAGGGCAATGCAGGAAGACACATAAGGAAAAAACTATATTGTTTTCTGGTTTGTTGTACTGTTAAGACTACTTATGTTTTACAGAAAAAAAGGTAATCAAAACTGCAGTGTTAAATTTATCACTCCTGTAGTAACAGTTCTGATCATAGTTGTGTGTAAAGGTTAGATGGTGGTTGAAGCTGACAATCTCAGGCTGCTTTAGCGATGTAGTAAGGCACGTTCGGAGGAATTAGTGTTTGCTGGTTTGTTATGTTTGTAGAACTATTTATGTTTTGATAGAAAAATATTATAAGAAGTACACATTAAATTCATGCTCTCATGACCTCTTATTTTTGAATATACTTTGCTCTTGCTTTCAAAAGGTTCGGTCTTGTGCTGCGACTGTTAGCTCACATTGGAGCTGTAACATGCAGCAAAGTTTTATCTTTCATCAAAGAAATGCAATACTTTGTAAATATTCATCAGTTGGTAGCACATACACCATATTCCCTGTCCCACATAACTGACAAGCACTGCAGCTATCAGCAGCTTCGAAAAACAACAATAAATAAAGCTGTTCTACGAATGTGTAGAAAATGGTTGTGCTAGTTGCAGTGAAGATAATATTACAACAATTCAATTTGTGCATAACGTGCATGTTGTTTAATGTAGCTACTACAACAAGGTACATAGGCACACTCGTTCACATAGAAGTAATGTAGATTAGAGCATGCAGCTTGATAGAGCCCCCACTCCCAATTAAAAAGAACTTTTGATGATGAAACTAGAGGTTGTTGCAGGATGGCAGCACAACTGTGCAAATTCTGGCATAGAAGATTTTAATTGTAATGATTTGTTCATGTGTTTAAAGCACTGTATGTACATATATAAATATGACTTATAGAGGTCTTATAGAATAGTAATTTTAGCATAGAAATTATCATCTCAGTAACTAATATATAGATCACATTAGAGCTGAATCGTAGAGGTTAAAGAACGCAGTATAGTAGCTGTTTATACCCACGGTTTATGACATAGTGCCAAAAGTAAGAAATACCACCAGTCCTTCCTTTTACACGTCTTAAAGATCATCTTTAGCAGCACCACAGTTTAGCAAATTTACGCAGGTGAATTACTTAAAGGGGCAGACATTAGTTGTACTGCTACGAATCACTTGGGTTGTTTGAATAGGTAAGGTTTCTAATGGAATGAAATAATTTATGCAGGTGAATTACTTAAAGGGGCAGACATTAGTTGTACTGCTATGAATTATTTGGGTTGTTTGAATAGGTAAGGTATCTAATGGAATGAAATACTGAATGTTCCTAATTTATTTCAAAAAACAAAGAAAAAAGTTAGCAAGTTCTGCAGAGTTTGTTTGGAAACAAATGGCTTGTTTACATTCTTTATATAAATAAAACTTGTAACGACAGGATCTTAATTCAGACAACTGATAAGTATATAAATGAGAAAAAAAGAAAGGTATGATTACTACTGAGGTACTATGATAATGACAGTAAATATAACACGGAATGTAGTGCTCATTTGAGGAGCTAATAGTAATGCTACAGCATTTTGTAGAGATTGGCCAGTCATTAAATTGTTTTGTATAGTGATAGCATATCCATAGGCTGGCTAAGGAGGGACATGAGACATTCTTGCATAATGAATGGTAACCATTACACATTAGTCATCTCCATGTATTTTTTCAGGAACAGTATTGCTTTCCCAACAGATGAAGCTCTCTTGATGAGAATTATTCAGATGAGTTTCCACTTGTAACAGTCTGTCTGCCTATAAACTTCATGAACTGTTGTTGTCTTTTCCAAAGGAAACAAACATTCAGCAACTTCAAATAGTTACTACTCCAAATGAATGTTCGCATACATCTACCCTATAAACTGCAAGAACTGTTGTTTTCCTTTTGGAAGGAAACGAACGTTCAGCAACTTTAAGTAGTGACCTCTCCAAATGAATGTTTGCAGACATCTACAAGTCGCAGTGTGCAGTGAGCTAATCAACGAATTATACTGATCAATTTATGTTTATTTACATAAGCACACATAGTGTACTGGCGGGACGTGAGCTAGCCATAGCTTAAAGATTGTTTGTTTCCTGTGAGCCACGAAACTATTAGCACAGTTCAATCAATCATTAGGAATAATGTACGAAAGCATCTTCATGTTCAAATTATTTGCTTGTTATGCAGTGAGAGACAAAACCACATAGCATGGCAATTATACTTTGGGCTGGATATATCTGAACTGATGTTTTCCTCTAGATTCCTGCTAAATGGTTATGCTCTGATATCTTACTGGCTTCAGTCGCATTACGTTATGTGCCAAATGCATTGATCATTATCGTAATTAGAACAGTTGTGTTTGTCCTCTTACTGCACATGGTGATTTGCTGTGCAAGGCACGTCCATCTATTGAATGATCCGTCTGAAAAGTGAAAATTTTTTTTTTTTTTTTTTGCAGTGATGATTTTTCAAAAGTGTGTGAATTACAAAAAATACCAATAAGATAGATGGTGTGTATTGTTTACTATGAGAAACCAGTTAGCATGTTTGTTTGTATTCAAGTACATTTTATGCTATCTTTATGATTTGGTGCAATTTTTGTTAGATGAGTGTGTTGCTTTATTGAGGCATGATGCTATGTTACAGTCATTTAAAGGGGCCCTGCAACACTTTTTCAAGTAACCATTGAATGTCTTCATTTAAAGAGCTTATTGCCTCATGAATCGACTGCCACAAAAATTTTTAGTATCCGTTAAGTACTAGTGGAGCTACATGGATTTTTTGCACACTTTAAGCATCTTCTCTCCTTTTGTACCAGCGAACGTGCTGAAAGCTACACAGAGAGGGAGATGACAAGGGTGCAAGAAGCTGTGTCGCTTCATCAGAGTGCATTATGAGTTGAGCTCTTTCTTTTCATATTTTTTTCTTTGAGTGTGCAGCTTACCTTCGATGTCATTGCGAGCACTAATGGGAACATGGGGACATCTTATGGCTGCCACGGTAACTACGTACGTCACAATGTTGTAATCAGCCAATGGCTATAGACTTGGGTATATGGTGCAGTGGTTTGGGTATATGGCATCATTCGTTGAGTGAATACAGGGTAATTTCTTGCCAACTTGGAATTAATTGTCAATTCAAGGCCACATGCTGCACCATAACGTCTGGCTCACGTGTCCTCGGGAGCCCAGACTACCAATTGGCAGCATTTTTCGTCTTTTCCTGAGAAAGTATTTCAGGGGCCCTTTAAGTGTTCAGATATAGATAATAGCTAGCTGTCAACTATGACCACACATAATATATGGACAAAAGTATTGAATTGTTACCAGCATTCGTATGTATGCATATGTACAATTTCTCGCACTCTGCAACTTGTTCATAAGCCTCATCAGGAGTGATTGTGCTCCAATTCTAGCTGTGGTCTCACAAAAGTAACGAAAAGCTGCTGGTGTGCAGATGCTTAAGTATGTATTCTTTTCACAAACATGGCTGTTGCAAGTAATTGGGAGTTTCCCTGTGAGAATAGGATAACATTTCAGTGTTTAAAATCTGTGCCTCCAAAGGTGCACCAGTCACAGCAGCACTTCTTGTGCTGGTGTAAAGCCTTCCAAGGACACTTAATAGTGCTCCTGGTTGCCCAGAGAAATTCTCTCTTCCCTTCCTCTCTCTCTTTTCAATCTGCTACTACATATAGATCGTACTCTCTCAAAGCATACTGTTCCGAGTTGTTCATCCTCAGGAGACAACTATACCGGGTTGTACACAGCTCAAAAAGCACTGCTTTCTGACTATCTTGCTTTTATATTGCTAACGAATAACAAAAATACTTTGTGAGAACCGTTGATTGTCAAAAATTCCTCTAAGCAGGCAAATTTTTTTAATTTTTTGCTATATCTGTTTCCTGAAATTATAAATTTTAGTTATGCCTGTACCTGCAAAATACAGTTTGCAGGGGCTTTGCTGTATGTGTTACAATAATGTGTGCATTAAATCATGAGTCACTGCACTTTTAAGAAGAACATTATAACCTGTTTACCCATGTAAAAAATTTAAAATGTCCTACCCTCACATTTGTCATATATTCTACATTTCTATTGAAAAAAACATGCTCAAGTTGCCACAGTCAATGCCATTGCTTCCTTATTCCTAAAAACTCTGTACCAATAAAATACTTGTTTTCTTCATATTTTTTTAGCTTGAGCATAATAGATGAGCCTCAAGCATATTATAAAAGCACCATATAAAACTTTAGAGTACCTTAGTTTAATAGAAGCTATGGAAGTTTCGTAATTAACAGTCTGAACAGTAGCATAACCCAGTGCCAAAAGAAAGTCTATGCCTTGAGTTTCAATATTGCACTTGTTATCCTGTTGAAAGCATCTAAATCCAGGCTATGCTTCTGTATAACACTAGAAGAGACTGTTTTTTTTTTAATAAAGTTTCTACCAGTACTTCTATATTTAATCTTTTTATAAGAGTATTTTATCGCATATAAATGGAGGCAAATAAGAAAGAGCTGACCCCAAAATTGAATTGGACTAGGGCCATGAAAAAAAATATTTTTAGATACTAAGATTAGTGGTCCACTGTATCAAGTGCATTTAATCATTTATGAAGCTAGCATACATTTTAACTATATTTTTAAGTGTCATGTTCCTGAATAGATTAATTAAGCAAGAAAGTTTACCATGAATTGCAGAATGTATGAAAATTTTCAGCTTGGTGTGGCTTTACAGCCGCATATAATGAGCTGCAGCTTTAGGCCATAGGTGATGCTTCAGCAGTGACTAATTAATCAAATGAAAAAGTTGGGACAAAGTAGTAATTTTCACTTGCGAAGGTTAACAGGAGTGGTGGGCATCTGAAATTATACAACTGCCTGCAACCTCGGGAATGGACGTGTTTACCCAAATATAGGTTTGCCTTTCTTTTTTTTAAATATAAAGTGAGTTGTTCATCTGTATTCATGACCAAAGAATCTCAGCTTATATTAATTAATAGAGGTAACAAAAGTACTGAACTAGTGTAGCCCCGCCGCGGTGGTCTAGTGGCTAAGGTACTCGGCTGCTGACCCGAAGGTCGCGGGTTCGATTCCCGGCTGCGGCGGCTGCATTTCCGATGGAGGCGGAAATGTTGTAGGCCCGTGTACTCAGATTTGGGTGCACGTTAAAGAACCCCTGGTGGTCAAAATTTCCGGAGTCCTCCACTACGGCGTCTCTCATAATCAAATGGTGGTTTTGGGACGTTAAACCCCACAAATCAATCAATCAATTACTGAACTAGTGGAGTTCCCATGTCGTGTCTATTGTTCTTCAAGCAGCACCAGCAGCATCGGCTGTATTTTAACTCTGCTAACTTCAGCTAGAGTTAAAAATATGTCTACGCATTTTTCGATGGCATGACTGAATGCATATTGCAAGTTGTTATGATAAATAACATTATATTTTGTGTTCTTAATTGCCTGATGAGGCAAGATTGAATAACCAACTTCTGGAGCAATGAAGGTGGGTTATAAATTCCAATTATAAAGTTGTAGATCAGTTCGAAAAATATCTAATTATGTAATTTATAACTTAGTATTCAATAAGTATTAGTGATTTTCTACTTATCACAGGAGCCAGCAAAATATAAAAAATATCACATGACATCTGCACATTAGGAAGCACTGCATTGATGTAGTACTCCCTAATTTTTGCATAAAAGTTATTTGCTACCCTCGTGGCGGTTATTTACAGCAATAAGCAGATGTTGCAGTTATCACTTGTGCTGCTGCAAACAATAGGCGAATCGTCAAACAGCCGCTACCATTGTCGCCACCCTATCACCTTAAGTGGCAGCCCAACCTATCGATTGCTGTGGTCGTTTGCATACGAAACATTGCGTAGCATTGCAATTATGGTGCACAAGCAGGCATGTTGCATCATATATTCTATTTCATGGGCATCTGCAGTAAGCAGAAAATACCAGTACTTAGCAGATACAAAGTTTGATACTGCCTAATCAGATGTTTTGCCAACCAATCTATAGTTTTCTAATTGCAGTTTTTCCAGCTTTTTGTTTTACAAGTTTGTTAATTAATCTTCTCTAATTAAGCGATTCAGCAGAATAGTGAAAGTAGTCTAACGTAGTCCATGCAGTAGTCAGAAACATGCACTTGGTCATGCTGTCATAGAGTGAATCAGCATATTTTTAAACTCTGGCTGCTGGGGTGCCCTGTATTATATGTATATGTGTTATTCATGTAATATATAATGTATGTATATTGAAAATGAATAGACTTACCAAAATATAACAGAAAAAAAACACTGAGCTAATAAAAAAAGATACGACTTGAGGATGTTGTTTAGGGCTTCATCAAGCAAGATATATAGGAGACAAACTTTTTATTTCTCATATAGGAGCCAACATATGTTCATTTTCTACTTATTTTTTGGGAGATATGTAAAGTTTGCATTTTACTCTTACGAACTTAACTTTAAATGTAGAACTTGCAGAAGTAAAGCATTTCTGAGCCTAGCACTTGTTTAGAGATATTGCTCTTCAAAGCCATTATTGAAATACTTGAGTACGACACAAGCAGATACTATCCTTCATAACCACATTAAATTAATGTTTTATGGTACTGTGAGAAAATAGTGTTGTATGAATAAACTTCCTGTACATTATTTGCTGTACATCAGAAACTTTTGCATGTCTAGTTGCATAAAACATTTTTTTTTTGCAAAATTCGGTAGTTGTTCTATACACATTTGAAAAAACTCACTTTGATTCACACTTGGATTTTATTATTTGAATTTGTTTCAAAGTAGAAATTTGATATTTGCACACCCCTGGTTTTTCTCTCTCTCTCTCTCTGAGAGCTTGGGAACATAGCTCTTACAAAAGGCTTGCATGACATATTGATATATGTAGAAAGTGTGTAATATATGGTAGCAGAGTTACCTGTTTTTAGAAGAATTTCTTAACAGTGGTGCTAGTCTTGTACTTTCTGCTAGGTGAATGTTTATTTAGCACTGAATAAGCCTCAATTCTGCGATTGGAAGAGGTGGGTTGAAGTTACCAATTAACAGATAGTACAGTTGTGTCAAAGATTTTACTGGCAATTGTGTTGAACACCACTTCTGATGTCCACTGCTGATGGTTTTTTGGTTTGAGAAAGTTATCATTTGGTATTCAGTAATTTGTTTTCATAGGAGTACTGGCTCATTACATTTAGCTTATTCCACTGAGTGAACGTTCTGAACCTTTCAACTCCAGAAACATTGCTGGCAATCCTCAGAGCGCCCTAAACAGTTTACAAACAAACAGCTTTTCTACAAACTGGTTTCAGTTTTAATATCCAGAAGGTGACCGTGCCATGATGTCAAAACACGAAAGTTTGTCACATAAGGGAAGAGCATCGCAATGTTTTACAATCACACCAGCTTGCTTCGCAGTCTAGTAGGCTCCCATTCATTGCGTGGTTCATGATACGAGGTATATGCACAATGATACATATGCTACCTCAGAACAATCCCGGGGAAAGGAAGCCACAACTGGCTCACGGGAAGTTGTTACGAATTGTTTAGGGCACTCTGAGGCATGCCTCTATTTCTTCTAGAGTGACAAAATATACAACCTTCATGTAATGTGAAAAAAAACCATTAAAAAATGAAATTATGTCAATAACTGGTAAAGGGCTCATTTTTCAAAATCACAACGGTATCATTGCGACTCATTTCTTTTTTTTAAATTGCAAACAGGGGATCTCTGCTTACAAGAATTGCTTGCCGCCACATAGCGTGGCAAAATTTACTAAATGAGAGTACTAATAGAACAGCCACTGCCATTTGTGTTGTGAAATAAAACACACTTGACAGCTGCTATTCATCACAATCTATTCACAAAGTGGAAAAATAATCATGATGAGTACGAAAATGCAAGCTCATTGTAAGTCAAAAAGTGGCAGTCACTTGAGATGAGCTGAGGTCCAGTTACCTCAAAGTTTTAATAACTGAAAAAAGAGTATTGCCAGAATATTCAGCATGAAAGCAATATTGCTTTGCTGGTTTAGTTGGAAGGAAGATCAGAAGTCCAGAAAATTTCCTAGAGGGATGAAGCTTTTGAAACTACTGGAAGCAAAAAAGATCCTGGATGGTGATCTCAATGCTTTGTGATATGAAGCGTGGAGGGATCTTCAACAAATGGTTGTGCAAAACAAATACACAAGAAGCAACAAGGACACCACTAACCTTTCTGTATTTTATACACCTGCCTTTGTAAACCATCTATGTCTGCAAACTTGCTCACTATTTTGTTGCTCTCCATGGGAAAGTCACTATGAATTTCAATGATGCATTTGTTCAGAGTAATTATTATTTTTCAATTTCCCAGAATGGCTATCTGACATGACAAATAATTGTGTAAATATGTAGTATTTGTGTTTGAATACTGCTATAAAAACTTATTTTGCTTGTTTTTATGGCTGATTTCAGATAAAACAAAATACAAATATGTGTAATGATTGATGAACTTAGCTTTTTAAAACTTTTTAAAAACTTCTTTAATAAACATATAGTTAATAATTGTAAATTTTCATTTTATCACTTTCTTTTTGTAAACCCCGTATTGTTTTTGGCTTTATAAGCAACTTCTTTATGTTGGAAATATTAGGACTTGCAGTGATGTAATGTTAAAATGCCCAATGTTGTCCTCTACTGTTTTTTATTTAGTTAAACCAGCTGTAACAATACTGAATATGCTAACCAAGCACTGTTGGTTTACTTATAATGTGGGAAACATCATGCTTTTGAGGTTGTGTAGTTTTCATCTCTGTTGAATGAGAGCTGTAGCCAAGCTGACATGACAAATTATTGTACTTGTTGGCTTAATATATTTTTACTAAAAACTTCACTTAAACTTGTTTATTTTCTTAATAAGCAGTAGCTAGTTAATAATGCTATGATAATTTTACTTTATTCCGCTTTCTAATAAATAGCTTATTTATACTACAACATTTAGTTTGAAAGATCTATTAAGTAACAGTGATTACTTCAAACTGACACATGTTTTGTTTGCATAATGCATTCATAAGAACACAGAAAGCATTTGGTCCCTGTACCAGTTGACTTCAACTGGTCCCTGTACCTGTTGAATTTAGTACTGGAGGACGTAGTACCTCATAGAATAAAATTTTTGCATATATAATGCATCTTCGCAAGATTGGACTATGTAGAAAAAAGACTTCCACTGTGATGCAGCGCGTTATGCAGAACTCTAAAAGGTTTGTCCCGTTCGGCATCTACTATTAGCATTTCTAGAAGTTTAAGCTCTTCCAAAATGTACCAAGAGGAAAATGGTCATTCTGTAACTTATAAGCTGTTTCAACAATAATAGAGAGTGGAGTTCTCTGGTACAGCCAAATCTAGCAGTTCCTGCAAAAATTCTTACAGGTATCTCTCCATTTACAGTATTATAATAGCTTACAGGCTTTTTTTACTCGTGCATATTTGTAAATCCCTCAAATGTGTCTGCCAAAAATATTTTTTATTGCAGCTTACTACCCGTAAGTCATGTTTGACAAAGATGGTGTTATCAGCAGTGCATTGAATAGCAATGTATTTATACCTTGCTTAACCAGCCTTTGTTTCTTCTAATGGATAGGAAATTTTCATGTTTAGTTTGAACTTCTTGTACATTGAATCTGGACTTTTCATACCCAAGTAATCATTGGTATTCGTGGCACGTACGATAAGGCACAAACATTTAAGGTCAAGACTGGATACATGAGGTTATACATACATCACTGAGTATTAACATAGTAATTCAGCTGTATAGTCAACAGCATCGATACTTAGACATTTCTGTGATTGTTTTAGCACACTTTCTGTTGTGGCAGCTTCACTACATCCTTCATAAGCATGTATTCTATGCATGTAGTGACATTGACAATGCTCATGGAATGAAACAAGTCATTTTAAGGTTAAGTAATGCACATACTTTCATTTACACCTAGGCTTCGATTTATATCACATTGACATGATATTCACTCATACACTTTCAAAAGAGAGAGGGTTTGTGAGTGGCCACCAAGCATTGGAATCTGTACTACAATATTCATAATAAGCAAATTCACCAAAGAATAAGAATTGGCTGGAGCACATAAGGCAGGCATTCCCGAATAATGACAGGCAATTTGCCACTGCCTCTGAAGTGAAAACTATGCAATAACTGCATACTATCAGTTCTATAACATATGGGCCTGAAACTTGAATGTTAACGGAAAAACTAAATAAATGTTGACACAGTCTGTATGCAACATTAAGAGATATGAAGACAGCAGAATGGGACAGAGAATAGGCAGACATATCGGATGTACTAGTTGACGTTAAATGAAAGAAATGGACTTAGTGTGTGGGGCAGACAACCAGTGTTCAGTTAGTACTAGTTGACATTAAATGAAAGAAATGGGCTTAGTGTGTGGGGCAGACAACCAGTGTTCAGTTAGTGCAACTGAATGGCTACTAAGGGATGGGAAACACAGTCTAGGAGGATGGCAGCGAGTTATATTAGATGGAGAGACAAAATTTAGTAGCTTGCAGGAATAAAACGGAATTAGTTTCAAGATTGTAAAAATTAGAAATCATTGGGAGAAGCCTCCTTCCCTAATGAACATAAAATAGGCTGAAAAAAAATGAGCTGATAATGAGAGCCAACATTATATTTAGTGACTAGATTTCAAGCAGCATTACATGTTTAACTTGATCAACTTCACGCCACACTTCTTATACTTGATGTCGCACTTTATTCCATGAGCACTGTAGAGTTGACAAAGGCTCAGGAAAAGGGTGAACTTTGTTTGGATCTTTTTTAAAGCCTGAAACAAAAACTGTTTGCCAAGGAAACATTGATTGATTAACATGTGGTGTTTAACATCCCAAAACCACCATACGATTATAAGAGATGCCGTAGTGGAGGGCTCCAGAAATGTCGACCACCTGGGGTTCTTTAGCGTGCACCCAAATCTGAGCACATGGGCCTACATTTCCGCCTCCATCGGAAATGTAGCCGTCGCAGCCGGGATTCGATCCCACGACCTGCGGGTCAGCAGCCGGGTACCTTAGCCACTAGACCATCGCGGCGGGGCGCCAAGGAAACATTGGTACATATATGTGCTAGTTTTCTCAAAGCATAAAAATCCCTACTTACTTCTACGTTATAAGGGTGGGCATAATACTGCAAAAACGTGAGTGGGCTTAAGCTGAATGCTCTTGTCAAAAATATAGTCGTTACTACAACCTCTGGAGCACTCTAGGCATAAGAAAGTTGGTCTTGAGATATGCAGGGATCCTGTCATACTGCCATTTCTGCAGAACTCCAAAACTCGTTATCATTTTCAAATGCTGTTAGACAGTTATTTAGGAGGCCAATCAGACGACTAGGAGCCCACTTGTTACTCATTGTGGGAGAATTAATCTTTGACAGAAGTTGTGTGTACATGCATGAGAACAAAGAGACTAACTGTGGAATAGCATTAATATGCCTGGCAACTGTATCATTTGGTATGCATTAAAGTGCACAAATACTAGTTTTGAAATTTGAGAATAGATATGGATAGTTAAATCAAACAGGATGTTGCCACTCGACATCTTTCAAATTGCTGCTTCATCATTAACCCAGAATTTCATGTCATCTTGGCAGGAATTCAGAAGTTTAATGGATATTACAAAATGAGCATTGCGTGTCGCATGATTATTTGTGGTTACTTGGGAAAGTACTGCAAACATTCCGAAGTTTAAGTCAATAACCCGCCAAGGCATTTATGGTACACCTTTGTTTTACGACAGAAGTACTCCTGTGTTTTTCTCTTCCTAGTGCAGCTCCTCTTTGTATACCTGATTTTTACCTCAATCCCAATGTACAACTTTACAATATGTATAACTATGGCCTATATTGTTAATAAATGGTGCTTACCCTGTTCTCTGACTGTGTAACTCATTCGTTATGCATTCATAAAAAGGACATTAAAACTAGTACCTTAAAGTGCTGTCCGTAAGACAAGGCTAGGTATGCTTGCTGCTTGTGCTGAAATCATTCTTTATGAGGCAGAAAAAAAAAATGCAGGGACATCTATATGAGGAACTGCTTTTTTAAAACACCCACTGATTGCTCAATTCACATCTTTTGAAGCCTAGCATGGTTCTATGCTTTTGGTACGTGTTATGATGAGTGTAAGGAGCCCTGCAACACTTTTTCAAGTAGCCATGGTATGGATTCACCAAAGGAGCTTACTGCCTTACAAATTCACCACTGCAAAAATTTTTAGAACCTGTCCAGTACAAGCAGTGACAAAGATTTGTCGCACCCTGCAATTGTGTCCTCTTTTTTGTTTCGTCCCGACAAAAGCGCTGGAAGCTAAGCAAACAGGGAGGGATGACAAGGAGAAAGAAAATACATCACGCACACCTCGTGACGTTGAGCACTTTTTTTTTTTTTTTCAAATATGCGGCTTTACAGTGCAATCGCGCACGCAATAAGTCGTAGACAAGTCGTGGCCTCCCAAGGCAGCTCCAGTAATGACCGAGCGCACCATGCTCAAATCAGCTAATGGCTGATTCAATGGCTGTGACAAGTGGTTTCTGAGCTAGGAGAGAAGAGAAAGCAATCTTTAGCTGCATAACTTTAAGAATTTATTTGAATTCCAGGCCACGTATGTGCCGCACTATATTATTCGGCTCACATGTTCTCAAGAGCCTCGAGTACCGATCGACAACATTTTCTGACCATGCTCAAAGTGCTGCAGAATGCTTTAAGAAGGCTCCTTCTACTACATGACATTCATACAGTGTTTTTTTTCCAAAGCAGTTTCAAGAAATATTGTGGCTCTGTATTAGAACACCTGCTTGCCATGCATACGGCCTGGGTTCAATCTTCGCTCAGACCCGTAAAATTTTATTATTTATTTTATGTGCATTTTTTTTTTACTTTTTGGTCATGAACAAGACGATAATTTTTCTCGCACAACCAACGACGCCCACGCCGATGCCAACACGGACACCGGAATGTCTGTGAAACGAGCTCTTTAACGCTATTGCGTTAAAATGATGAATCGATGCGAGTGGAACTTCACGGCAATAATTTTGCATGAATAAGTGTTTTCATGGCTTAGCACTTCTTTATTGCAGTGAAACCACCTTTACAAAAACCTACATGTAAACTAATAAATTAAATAGATAATTTTGCGGCGAGACATTTCTTCAATGCAGTAAAACCACAGTTACAGGAGTTACATGTGGATTAACATACATTTATTTGTTTCAAATACTTCAAAATATTCAGCAATTTGAATTCAAATCGAACCAAATTTGAATGCAGTAATATTCATTCGAATATTCGCAGAAGCCTAGATATTACAGTCCCTCAACTCTTGACAAATTTTCATTAGTACTATACTTTCTTTGGGGCTTATACACTGTAAAATGCAGAGAAAGTGCCCCCCTCCATGGTGAAGGATACTCGGACCAGATTTGGAAGGGGGGCATTCGCTCGTTCCCAGACTGGTCATTGGCACTCACTTGCTTCAGATCTCCAAAAAAAGACAGGGGTGCTTGCTCGGAATTTTACGGTGTGTGTGTGTTTGAGCAAGAAACCTTGTGGCAATGGCCAATATGCACCTGGAGTGTCCATATAATTGCTATTTCAATAATATATCAGTAACAACCAGAGTGTTTCACAAACAAGCGCAGCAGTTATGAATGTGTACTAAGCGATTGCACTGCTATTGGTACATAATTAATACCTGCCATAAACTAATTTAGTGTCTCCAAGTGGAATACACAATAAAATTTGGCATTACTTTCACAGTATATTAGAATTCCTGCATAGCTGATCACATTATCAACAAATAAACATCCCGCATTATTTATTTGTTAAACCTGCAAAGAAAATTTTATCCCGATACTACTTCAGTGACAACTCTTTGTAGTCCTAAAACATCCCCCACCTTTTGTTCATTCTGGTGCAAAACTAAAGAGCTCAACGCTCAAGTAAAGAAACCTTACTTACTCATTCACTTACAGTTGATACATAATACATTGAGAAAACATGGACGTGCATCAAGCACAATACAACTTGTTGAGCGCGGCCCAACCACGAGCCGCTGCGGTCTTGTTGCATTGTCTGGAGGGGCCCCGACAATGAACCGGAAAGGGTTCAACGTATTCATACTCAAACGCTACTAAAATATGAACTGGTGTTACAGTTTTATACCTAACTGTTAATGATTGATTGATATGTGGGGTTTAACGTTCCAAAACCACCATATGATTACGAGAAGCCGCAGTGGAGGGCTCCGAAAATTTTGGCCACCTGGGGTTCTTTAACGTGCACCCAAATCTGAGCACATGGACCTACAACATTTCCGCCTCCATCGGAAATGCAGTTGCCGCATCCAGGATTCGATCCCGCAACCTGCGGGTCAGCAGCCGAGTACCTTAGCCACTAGACCACCATGGCAGGGCTATACCTAACTGTTAAAAGGAAAGGCTTTTGAGCAACTGTTAACAGGAACACAACAGCATTCAAATTTTGCGGATAGACATGTCACAAGTGGCAGATGGTAGCCTCAAGCCTTCTGTTTAGCAGACACTGTATCACCGCTGCTCAATTTGTGATTTCAGCATGTAATGTAAAGCGAATAATTAAAATTCTAACTGGCTACAGTCAAACCTCAATATAACAAATCTGTATATAACAAAATATTGGTTGTAACGAAGTCAATGAAAAAGTCTTGCAACAGATATAGTGTTAGGAATAAGCCTTTACAATGAATTTTCGCATATAACAAAATTATTTTCGTGTAAGATGCAACTTTGTTATAATGAAGTCTGAATGTATTTTTTTCAAGTAGTAGTGCGGTACCGCTTATAGTGCGGATATTCGCGACTCCCGTTATCTGCACATTTGCAACTTGTGAGGTAAGCTAAGTCCACATTTTTGTATAATTACTTCATAAGAACAGGATATTGTGCATTAACAAGCAATTATATTTTGAAATGTGTTCTTTTGTAAGAAATGTGAAACATGCTACATTTCAAAAACATTTGAATTGGATATCGTTGGATATCGTTGAGCCTCATTCCAAAAGACTAAGAAAAGTGGCCTAATGAATATCTCACAAGACACAGATAGTGTAGTTTCCACTTCTATGTTGCATTTGTTTTTACTTGTTAAATATTTGGAGTCTGCGTGTACGTTCTGGAACTAATTTTGACAGCTCTGCACACAGTAGTTGCAGTTCAGAAGGAAACAGAAAAAGAAGTTTCTGCTATACGATTATAATGGTGCTGCACATTCTATAAAAGGAAAACCTAAAGCAGCTTGTTCTCCTAGTCTTGCATAGGACAAAAGTTCTTAGCAACACTTATGGCATACGTAAAACAATGACACCTGCAAGCAATTTTTAGAGCAAAGAGCTGAACAATTAGCTATGCAATTAACAATCAACTCTTGTACAATCGTTGTATCAACTGCTAAGCTGTAAAGTCGCCATCTTGCACGCGGCAGGTGACTTCCCAGAATATGACCTTTCATTAGCTGGACAGCACACTATCGCAATACTATAAAATTTCGGAAAGTCTGTATTGTGCACACAACCACAAAATGTTTCTCAATAGCTGATCTTGCAGCGGACTTTGTGAAAGTGGCAGCACTGAGTGAAAGATCCTGCATGTGCAAACTTACTAAACTGTAGATGTGCACATAAGGGCCACCTGATTTATAAGAACCAAAATAAAGGATATGAATAAACAAATAGCACAACATGACTCCGTACAGCTTGGTGCCTGTCTCAGGGTTTTATTTTGAGGCTGTTCTGGCACTTATCACAAAAAATAATGAGTACCAGGATAAAATTTCAAGGGGAAGGCTGCCTGTCCTGCACCCTGGTGCTGCCCCTATTTAACTTTTGGGTGAAGGTGCGCCTCATTTTAATCATTAATCATTTGAGCACAGTAATGTACTTATATGGCATTGCAATCCATGTCCCAATTGATTGATGACGTACATGGTCAACAAGTTAGAAAAATGCACTTTTTTTTTTTTTTTTCACTTATTTCTGCCCTAGAAGGGAAAGTTGGGCAAGTTAGTGGCTCCTGCTTGGGATGTAAAAACTGCAAAAAAAAACATGAGGACTAAGAAAGATATGATGCAGGTGCTTGTATCATGTCTTCCGTAGTCTCGTCCATTTTTAGCGCTGTTTTTAGAAACCAAGTCATCTTTGCCCATTAAGTAAAGTAACCCTACAGGGATGCAGGAAATTTTTTGTGCTGTTGACCTTCGGTTTCTTTTACAAGGTTTACTTAAGCTCATGAGCATCAGCAGGATTTTCTCTTGGGAGCTGCAAACTACTGCTGCATTGCAGGTGGAAGAGGGAGAAAGCACTGGTGTACCTTGAGTCAGGGCTGGTGCGCATGAGGCTTGAGGCGGGCAATTGCCCCTTTTGCACCTCCTGCCGACGCCCATGCTTAAGATGGCACAATAACGCAGGCATGTGGTAGTATTGTGGCAGTTTTCATTTGTTGTGCTCACAAAACTGATGTGTACCTGGTTTCTAATACCGCAACTGCTTCATACTAGCTTATTATCCACGTGGGTACGATTTGAAGATATTTACGATATTAAAGACATTTCAAGAGTGGGTGCTGGTATACAAACGATACCATCCTTGCACATTTCTTTATCAGGGTGCACATTCTTTAAACCTGTGAACCTTATTTATTACAGTGAACATACTTCTTTGCTAATAATACATTTACTTCTCAATTTTAATTATTTATGAATAAATACCCATGAAAAATATTTTTGACATTTTATGGTCACCAAAAAATGGTGAAATTTTTTTGATAGATCACTTTAACAGTGTAATGTAATTGAAAAAAATCAACCATGGCACTTCCAATTTGGCTTTCTAATGGTCGAGAATATTTAAAAATCATATTTAAAAATCACCTGTGGTACATACAGTTCTGTTTTCATTTTTCTTGTGCATTAGCCACTGAGACAAAAATTGCTAGCACATGAAAGTATTTGGCTAATTAAGAAAGCTTTGCTAATTAACTTTTAAGCAATCTAACTTACAATGTACATTACAAATTACAAATTATACATGGTGGCATTGAATATCATTCCCACTTAGAATGAATTTTGAGGACACTACCTTCGATAAATGTATTTCCAAACCTTTTAGCAAAATGCATAGGCGTCTCGGTAATTTCCAAGTTTCAACGAATAAAAAAATGTTATGTGCAAAATGGTTGTTAAAACTGTGTGTATTTACTGCAAGTATGATAGTACACATCTCAAAACTAGTGCGTGCACCTTTCTATATCCCCTACAGCAGCCGTGTTTACAATTATACACAAACTTCAGAGGTACATTACGCACTGTGTGTTTCTTCAAATGGCTCAAAATGCTGTGTGTACATTCAAGCAGGCTTCCCAAGTGAACAGCTAGTCGTCATTTAAATTCATTTAGCTGCATATGGCCAGAGAGGAGCACTTCGCTGGAGACACCACCATGCTTGTCAATGGTTCAACATGCCATGTCCTAGGACTGCCGTCGATTTTTGTCCTTGTTTGAAATGAATACAACCAAAAAAACAAATTGTGCACAGATTTGGGGGGGGGTTTATCCTTTTATGCAAGGAGTGGAGCAGCCCGTTTGCAGAATTGCACATTTAATTATATGCTAATTAACATTCATTTCTGAAACCCACATAAAACAACACATTTCATTTTCTTTCCATGAGTGTAATACTGGATGCCATGCCATGCGAATTTGATGCATTTGCAGACTGTGCATCATAATTAGTGCCTGAAGGGGTATGTCAGCTAGTGAGATGCAGTGTTTTTCACCATCACAAGTCGGAAACTGCGATATCTAATGTGAAAGCGCATGAAACCGTCGTAATGTTGCAGAAAGCATTGTAAAGTAGCGTGTAAAACGTGGGTTATATTACAATGGGTGCTTTAAGGAGAGATGCAAATCAAAAAACAGTTTTTTTTCCGATATTACATATTTTCTTTTTATTTCTTTTTGCAAGGTTAGCTTCTATACTTTCACAAAAAAAACTGAAGATTGCAATTAAACTCGCAGTACATTAAAATCTATTTTAATGGGCACAAGATGGCTACTAAAAACTCAGAAGAGCTCATTCTATAGAGTGTGCACGAAATTGTCACCTGGCTGCTTGCCATTACATTTTGCATGAGAATCTCACTAAAACTACATGCTCAAAATAACCAAGATTTGCCAAGGTCTTATGATAGAAGAAATTAAAATTTTTTCAATAAGGGGGGCTTTCACTTACACCTTTAAAATGCGTTTTTCTGAAGATCCATTTTTGGGCAATTTCTTGAGTTTGGACATTATGGTTCTGGTACTTCTGATAGTCCGATCGAGATAAAACTTTGCCAAGATATTCCTTAACATGTGAAAGGTGCAAGTATCTCCCATAAATCTTGATATCATTAGCACAATTATTGCAAAGCTAAAAAGCATGCAATAAGTGTAAGCAGAGGATTCCAATAAATCTTGCACTACAATTTTTCTTGTCCATTAAAATGTTCAGTATGCACTTTCTTGATAATTATTTGCCTTCTATAGTTAATGAGAAGCAATATTAACCATTAATAGCTCAGAACTGTAAACGCTTAGTGGCACAAAAAATTTGTTTAAAATGAACTATACACAGTTTCATGTCACAAAACAAAAACTAAGCAACTTACTATAAAACTAATTACATATTTAAAATCAGTATAAAGCCTATATATAAACAGTCAAGCACATGCTCGCGTCTTTGGCCTTGACCCCTTTGCTTTACTGTAAGAAAAGGATCAAATGTGTGAATAAAAAAAAAACAAAAACATTTTATTACTCTAAGCTACCGGCTAATGAAACATTTTTTTCTAATCGCATCTCCCCTTAAATGTAGATCACTTTCTTCCAAGTTTTTTTTTCAAGTTTATATTTTTCCAGTTGATTTTTCTAGTATTTTTCCAAGTTTATATTTTTTCCCAGTTTACCAGCTCAATGAAAAAACTTAATTACCACAGGTGAGTTTTAAAATGCTGTCTTAAGGGAACAGGCTAAGCCCTATAACCACTATCAGTTATGTACCTTTTTCTTCATAAGCATATGAGTTACAGTAATTATTTTATTATCATTATGATCATGACCCATTCCTCTTCTTACTGAAGTAGATTTCACACTAAAAATTGTCATGCTCATTTTTTGTAAATTTTTTACTTCAGGTACCGAATTATCACTCGAAAATAGCTAATAGATGTGATGAAGAGCACTTTCTCACACAACAATCATTCTGCTTCAGCATATTCCCTATTATCTTACGTAAATATTGGCCGAAATCTACATTTCTGGATACAGCAGTTGCTGAGATAAAGGAACCAAAGTACAAAAAAAGCATGTTTTGAAATAATTGAATTTAAATGTGAAAATGTGCAATATTTCAAAAGTACAACAAGATAACAGCAAATTGACGGACCCGTTCAATAGGCACCCGCCAGATACTCATCACCAATATCATTTTTTTTTTCTTGTGTTGAAACGTCTTGCTTGGCGAGCCTCCTTTGTCGCCTGCTGTGCAGTTTCGGCACCCTTCGAGCAAAGCCGTGGGATGGATTGGTATTCTTTGAGATCATGTGAAGATATGTCGACCGGACAGCTTTTCGTATGCCCTCCAAGCTGGCTGTGTCTCTTTTAGTGGCCCAACAATAATAGTTTTGGAGCTTGCCAATGATGACACCATTTAGATGTCCCCAGCCAGATATAGATTTCTGACATAAATCTTGATGCCTCTGCTTTCTTTTGTTTTTGCAGTTCTGGGCCCATTTTTTTCTGAATGTGCCAAACGCACCCCAGCTTAAATACTGTGACCTCTCTATATGGCTATGATGCTTGAACTGCAAGGAATCTTTTGCTACATAAGAATGGGGCCATGGCAACACAAAGTGGTTGCTTGAGCTTGTTGGTACAGCATATTGGAAGGAAACAGCGCGAAAAACGAGAAACCAGACAACTTCGGTTGCCCTCTCAGAAAAGGAAGTTGCCTTGTTCATCTGGTTAATTACATGCACTATGAGAATGGTTTTATAATATTCATTTTTCATTATATTTGGCTGTCACTTCTGTTTTTCCTTTCATTCCATTGTATAGGTATATATGCATGGTTTGATTGTAAGTAAGCGCTCTGTATGTTTCCTCTCTTGTCTGATTTACAGTTTTTCGAGCTGTTTTTTTCCCAAGATGGCAAGCCGCCACACAAGTCTGGAACTATGTAATTTTTAAAGTAAAAATATCACAATAAGACAAACGACTGATTTTGGTTCACAAAAGGCTGCAAATTTCAAATAAGGCAAAAAAAAATTTTTCCCAGTATTTTTGCTTATCCTCTCCCCTTAAAGAACAGTATAATCAACTTTGGTAGACATACATAGCTATAGATTATTTATACTCTATGAAATACACACAACTGATTCAATTGAGTGAACAGCTTCTAGCTCCTGCTCAGCAGCTTTAAAATGTAGAACTGCAAGTTGCATTTCCAGCAAATACTACATCTCGTTTTAATGAGAAGTGATTTTATTACATAACTAAATGACAAGTCAGTCACTCTTGCGAGCATTTTTGTACAGCACAGACTGCATAAGTACCAGCACATCTTGAAAAAACGCTTTGCCAAACAAACCGCTGTTCACCATAATAATGGCAATGTGCAGCGAAACTTTCTACACCTACAGCACACAGCAGAATGAGCAGAGGTAACTGTGTTATCCAGCTTCACAATGCCACTCCTTTGTTTTTTCAAACACAATCATTCATGGCCTGAATAAAACAACTGCACAAACCCAGCAGGACAGAGCGTGTATGTGTACAAGATCTTACACTACCATGTCCAACCAAATTTGTGAGTTAACTGAAAACATCAAGAAAAGGCGAGCTAAGAAACAGACAGGTTTTTATATTGGCTTCCAAATAAATCCTAGCAGCTGGCAATATAACCTATCCGGCAGGATATAGAAATGCACACACCTGGCCAGTGACAGTTCTAAAAAATCCTTTGATAGCAGTCCTTTTTAAAGAGGATTCTCCAAGTACCAATAAGTTGATTGTGCTTTAATTTGCACGATCAGCTTTATTTCAGCGTTTTTCCTGTTTTTGTTAGTCTAATAGCAACACCACCACTTAAAGGGACCAACAACTGAAGAAAATTTGAAAGCTTAATACAGGCAAAAAAGGTCATGCTTAATACTGTGAAAACAGGCACAATTGAGAGAATTAAAACTTCACATCTATCCACATCATGCGACTAAGATGTGGAAAACCACACTCTTACAGCTTACCTACAAAATGACCTTTGAATTAATGTGCTTTTGTGGTCAAGAGAACTTCCATTTCTTCTTCTTCTTCTTCCTTTAATACTTCAGCCTTTAATAATTCAGCAGCTTTTAATACTTCATTTTTATGAAGTTTCCCACATGATCTATTTTCCACAAACTCTCATTTTTGCATGGATGTTCAGTGAACACCCGCTTTGAAAACAGTGCTGGAACGCTTATGACATTTATGGAAAATAAAGACACACCACAAGGCTATTGTGGTCCTTTCAGGCTACATCAATCGGTAACATTTGTTGTGATAGTTATAAGTTATAAACCAAACAGCCCATCAACCAAATTTCAGTGGGAAAGATGAACAGAGTAAGACTCAAAATATGAGCATGCCAAACTTCATTTCAAACCTAAAATTACTCAGTCTTGCCACACACTGCGGCTTTCTCGTCACTCAACAATTCTGACTTATTTTTATGTGCATGTGTGTGCACATGCACACATGCTGTTAGAGGTCAACTTCATTTTTAACAGTTCCAGTCAAACACAAACTACATATTTTCAAATGCCCAAGGACCTTAACTTTTTGAACATAATGCCAAAAAGCTGAGAGGACTCTACACTACAAAAATAAATTATAACTGCTTCACATTTTAGGGAACTTTCAAATCTCAGGTTTAGATTAAATTAAACAAATTGACACTCCGCACAGAGTGAATAATTCATATACTACATAATTCACACATTACACAGGTTGGTAGATGAATTTACGAGTTCTGCAAAATCCTAAATAAAACTTGCAGCCATAGGTCTCGCTATGAAAATACAAACTCTGTGCAGCTATTTTCAGCTTTCTGAGCAATGCTGGTAGAAATAATATGCTGTGCTTTTGCACTAGGTTTCAAGGAACCCAAGAAGTTCATTTACAGTTGGGTGCCTTTAATGGTCATACAAAAATCTTTCGTTTGAGAAAGATATGTACCCTGTGCCTGTTTAGCCATTAGTGAGCAAGCTATTGCAGGGCTATACTGATTGAACTAAAATTACTATGAAATTTCCACTTTTCCAGGTACTCATTTTTTCTGGCATTCCACCACCATCATTTCGCCTTTTTCCATCTTCTGTGCTGCCCTCTGACAGTATTGTCGGTTGGCAGAGCATCATGGAGTAATCCGGTACAAGCTGCCAGCCAGAACAAAAATCTCCAAGATCAGAGACCCTACCACAGCGTTTTGCCACTTTTCCAACAGGGGAAGAGTGCATGCACTGTGAGAAAGGTTGACTGTGCTACTAGAAGTTAAGCACAGCAACACAGAGTGATTGAAGATTTCGATAAGCTCAGAAAAAAAAAGGAGGATGGGAGAGAGGGTCCTAAAAAGCAGTTGTCAGTCCCTTTACAGCACGTGTGGCACTATTGCACTTGAGTGCAAAGGAAAATCATAGCTAGGCACAAAATGGTACATATCATCCAGTATACCCAACACAGCCATGCTGCACCAGCACAAATCTTTATAATCAGACACATCCAATTTAAAAGATATTGCAAAAACATGGAATCCATATCTATGAAGTGCTTCATTAAATTTTTGAAACCAGCCATTCCTGAGAGCCGCAAGAAGTTCCCTGAATGATCTCAGTTTCTGTACATGCACTGCATTTGTTCAGACATCCAAATCTACTGATATTGTACGAAAAGTCATGTTTAGGGCTATGAATGCCTTCTTGTTGCTTCATACACAAGTTATCACAAAAGTTTTTAATATGTGGCCTTATCACAATAGAAAATACGCAAATATATGCAGTTTTTTTATGAAACCCAAAGTGAGGCTCACTTAAAATAATTAAAGCAAGAACTAGTTATAAAAAACTGGACATGACAAAGAATATACACATCTATATTATTCTGATTACTGTTTGTTAACAAGAGACTGAAACAACCTTTGTTTTAAAAAAATATTTACGACTTAAAGCAACAAAGCTTTGAAGCAATCAAGAACACTATATTATGTCACTCCCTTAGAGTACACAAACTTCACAGGTATTTCTTGCTCTCAAACCTAAAGGGCATTGAAACATTTCACAGACAAAACCTTGTGTGATCTGAAGGCAACGTTACATTTACTATGCAAATCATTCATTCAATGCATGTAGTAGGGAGCCCACAATCGTGTATAAAAGATCTCTCTCACACTCTTGCACTTTCCAAGGTCATGGTCTATTATGCTCCACATACGACGTCATAGAAATGTGACAAACCATAGGTGCCAACCACTGGGCAAATGTTCTCATCAGGAGTTGCTCCCGAGTCCACACGTGATACACACTTCCCCAATTTTCTATAAAGTGTGAAGCTATACTGGTTATAGACAAGCCCCGACGATGGTGTTTACTCCTTTTGTCGCACTCTAGTACTTATCTCAGACACTAAGCTTGAATGGCAACAATGCTTCAATACAACTAAGCAAAAACAACAGCTTTCCGCCGTCAAGAGACCCCCCCCTCCAGCCAATGGCATTGCCGCGTCATCGTGACTATGCCAAAACGCGTCAATAAGCGACGGCCCCACCAGTGGCTGGAGGGAGGGTCCGTTGACGGCGAAAAGCCGCGTTTTTTTTTTTTAGTTATAAAAATACAGCGCAACATAAAAAAACGTAGGCAGGGCCAAGTTTTTTTACCATTTATGGGTGCATTGAGGGGAAGTGAGAAGAGAAACATTGTGCTCTGTGTATCATTAATATTAGGTACTTAAAAATTTTTCTCGGAATTTGTTTATTGAAAAGCATCACAATAACAGCCTCTTTAGTTTTGGAGAAAAGGTGTGGCAGAGACCCTTTAATACACCCACAAAAAAAGTACATTACATATGCACCTATCATACTTACACATGACTGTCGGCAATACCCAGAGAAAATATAACTAGCTTTCATTCCAGGTTTTCTTGGCAGCTACGAAACAAAGATATTTTGATACAGTGTGCACTGCATCTAAACAAATTAACAAAATCTACAACGCTCACAGCAGGCCTGAAAAGTAAAAGGAGAGAATAATATGTCACATTGCACTAAAATTAAGTTTAGTTAGTGCCATGTGTAGTAGTCCCAAAAATAAATTACCTTCCACTTGACTGCAGTAGAGTGCTACACAATGAAACCAGCTCCGTTTCTTAAGAAGCAAATCTCACAGTTAAAAAGTTTCTCCCGCTTTGGGAATCAAACCCAGGGCCACCACAGGGGTGGTGCAGTCACTCTACCGACTGAGCTAACCAGAAGGTAGTGCTAAACCAGATCAATTGACAACTGGAAGAACGTAGTGATATATCAACCAAATGAGTTCTACAGAATCTGAAAAGTGAAGGAGCTGCTCCGATATGGTGGTGGCTCCAGGCATGATTCCCAATCCAGGCTGACTTTTATCAATGGTTTGCTTTTCAAGAAGTTATTCTGGTTCCTTTTGTAACACTCTACAACAGTCAGGTGGCAAGATTATTTTTCTTTAAGCTACCTCCACCTCATTGACTTCTGCAGAACTCATTTAGTGAAAATAAATTATTCATCGAAAGGACAATCGAACATCATTCACTGGAAAGTTACTATGTCTACAATGTGTGTCAAAGTCAGCGTAAAGGGCTCACCCCAACCAAGCCAATTCACCACTTGGTGAATGCTGGGGACAAACATATACTTATGGCCACAACTGGCACACGACTCAAGGCACGCCATGTGGACACTACCTTCACTGCAACTCTTTTAACATGTGCATGTGCGCAGAGCAGCAGTTCCGAACACACATCCTGCAGATGCACGAAACAGCCTGCCAGGCTGGCGCAGAGAATAAAGCAATGTAGCAAAAGACTGGTCAGAAGGCTTTCTTTATCAAACATTAAGATTGTTTCATTCAGCAGAGCTCAAGGCCAAGATATCCAACATTTTGTAGATTTCCCAGGTGAGCATTAGTGTTCCACTACCATTTCCTACCCACTTCATGCTTGAGGGAAGGAAGGGCATCAGCCGATGGTACAAGGCATGTTCATGGCCAGCCTCAAACCAAAGAAGAATCAGTGCAAAATGTATACAGAAAAATTTTCAGCACTTTAAAATGGCCTGTTTTTTTATTTACTTTCCTGCATATTTCAGCTTGACAGTTAAAAAACTGGACTGGTCTTTATTGCAAACACTGCAGTACACTCCTCTAATTCCATATGGTCTAAGGCTGTTCTGCTAATGTAGGAAAGGGCAATGCTTGTCATATTTGCTTTAAAGGTGAGATTAAAAAAGAATTTCGAGTGCCACTAGCTCCCTAAGCCAAAAGAGGAAAAATGGGCCTGTATGCAAAGAATTACACAAAAGATAAAGAAAGCTCTGCATGTAATATACTCAAGAGCTGATATTTGGGAGAAATTAACAAAATTTTTAGCAGCGGCCACAGGTGTAGCTATCTCCTCCCCTAACAGTATGCCTGCGCTCTACAAGCAGAAGAGGATTGAGGGAGAAAGTTTGAGAGACGAGCTGCATCATATACAAAAATTAAGGAGAGAAGACTGCCATGGCTCTCAAAAAATTGAACGCAAGAAAAGAAGGCCAAAATGAGACACAGAGAAGAGCGGTGGTGGTAGTGGTGGCAGCAGCAGCCCAGTACAGAAGGGGAGAGCACCACTTATTAAAAAGTGGATCCTTCAGGTGGCTGAGCCATCCTCTGGTTCTCCTTGAGGGTCATGGCACGCCTCAACTCCTGCAGCACCGTCTTAATAGAGTAGTTCCTCTGCCAGCGGTTGAGCACACTCAGGCTGCGCTTCTCCACCTGCAAGAGCAAAATGTCAGCTGACACAGGAGCACATTGCTTTAAAGAAAGCAACTGCACTTATTATTAGACTGCCCTTACAACACACAGGAAGTGCCAATTTTACTATGAAAAAAATAAAAAGGTCTGCAAGCCAGCAGAAGTAAATAAAGATGCGTGACAGTATCAACTTGAAGTTCCCAAACCAGCTTCAAGAGACAGCATAGATGTTGACAGTGTCTGCTGGGGCAAAGTCAAGTTTTTATAGGTGAAATGAACTATGTTGTGTTCAAATGTAGGTAATGATCCAACATAGCAAAATAGTAAAATATATTCAAATAGGCACGAATTCAAAAAAAAAGACAGCTTTGAAATCCAAGACGTCAGACTGATATGCTGCACTGGGGTTCCAGCACAAAAGATTTAAAACTTCACTATTTGTTTTATCTTATAATCAAATTGGCACAAAATTGCTAGAAATAGTTTTGAAACATAACTAGCTTATTCTATACCAATTTGATTCAGCATTTTTTTTATCTATAGCTTATAAGTATTATCGAGAATTCATTTCACTATGCTCATTGTTTTTCAAGTAGCTACAACTACTGCCGTGTTTGCTTTGCTATAACTAATTTCTAGAAAGCATAGATAGCATAGCACTGTAGCGTTCTTTAACTCTGTAACTGTGATTTAAAAATTCTGATTCCAATTCAATGCTATTATTGGTACTCTGGTAATGAACAATGCACAGCACATTTTCATGATAATATGTGGGATTTCATGTCCCAAAACCACGATATGACTATGAGAGACGCCGTAGTGGCGGACTCCAGAAGTTTTGACCATCTGGTTTTCTTCAACATGCACTGACATGGGCACAATACATGGACTTCTACCATTTCACCTCTATCAAAATGCAACCGCTGTAGTCAGGATTGAACCAGCGACCTCCGGATCAGCAGCCAAGCACCCCAACCACTGATCCAACGGGGCAAACCAGCAAATTTTCAGACCCAAAGCTGATCATATGTCCCAATCCACACCTATGAATATATCAAGCACTGCATGCCTTCATTGTGTCGTATCTATTTCTGTCATGGCACCTTTTTTTATTAAGTGCTTCAATGAGGCAATTGAAAAATTGGTAGATCCCACGTAACGTGGAAACTGATCATATGCGAAGCACGAATGAGGAAGGTTGATATGTGACTTTAAGATGAGCACAACATTACGAGACGGACATAAAATATGCCATACGTGACTTCTATGTCATAATTACCATGTTTGCACCTCACATTTATGTTCATCGTCCATATACGTCACGTAATACCAAATTTAGTATACGTGAAGATTGCGAAACAGCCGCGAGCGCGCTATGAGGGCAGCACGTACTAGTCATATTTTACATGACACATATGTCATGATTATCATGTTTGTACGTGTCATAAACCTTCATCATCTATTGACGTCCCATAATACTAAATTTGGTATATGTGGAGCTAGTGAAATGGCGGCGACCGCATCATGAGCATGGTGTGTAGTCATGTTGTTACATGACACGCATGTTACGATTATCACGTTTGCACCAGTAATATACCTTCGTAATCCATTCACGTCACATAACACCAAATTTGGTATATATGAAGCTAGCGAAACAGCCGAGAGTGCAACATGAGCATGATATATAGTAATGTTCTTAAATGACACACATGTCATGATTATCATCTTTGTTATGTAAGTAGACAACTGTGTTATGCAAGTAGACAAAAAAAAAAGAGCACTGCACCAGCACATTGTGGCACCTCATGGCAAGAAATGCACCATATCTAAACACTGCAGTTTATTCATGCCAACTATTGGCATGGTGTTCGCTGTTTGACGACAAACAGCGGGCGCCAGCAGCTCCGAAGTAAGTGAGGGTGGGCCTTTGTATGAAGACAGTGTGTTTGAGAATATGATAACTTAACACCTTGCTTTTAAACTCTCCTTGCTGCGTGCAACCTCGGGGTTTGGCCAAGATGTTCATAGCAGTTTTCTGCTATTTGCAGGATGTGTTTACTCGCCAAGCCCGAATGCTGTAAAGATGTTTTCGCTTTGATAATTTCAGTGATGTGATAAATAGGCTGAAGCCATCTTGGAGCAGGTTTTCAGAGCACTAAAAAGCATCTTTTAAGGCAAGAAAAAGGGCTTTTGGGTTGCTAAAACAACGTTTTACAAGAGTAAAAATATTTCTGAAGCTTCCAAAAGTGCCTTTATGAGCAGGAAAAGAAAAGGCTTTTAAAGCAACCAAAAGTGAAAATTAAGGAAGAAAAAAGGCTGCTGGAGACGCCAAAGGGACATTACCGAGTGAAAAACTGAATTTGTGACAACGAAAACAGCTGAATAAAATATAACTAAGAAACATTCCATAACAATCCTCGCATGTACAGGTTGGACTACTTAGAGTGTAACCACATATAGTGCATTACCGGTTATAATGCAGACTTTTCTTACTACTATTTATCATTGCACAGAATTCCACGTATACACACATGGCTTATTGTGCACGCCCCTAGATGAAAAATGTTGAAATACGACTCAGGTAAGGAGGTAACGACAGCACTTCTCAACGGAGGTATGCCAGCAAATGGGTGTCAGTGACGAAAGCACTCTTAAGAAGAAAGGGACACGGAACAAACTAACAAGCAGTGAAGCGTGGGAAAAAAAGGAAGTATAAGGAGGAAGGTTAGCCATGTAAAACTTAAATAACAACTAAGCTGGTTGATCTTAAGGGCTCAATGTGGTCTCTAGGCTGATGCTATGTCTTTCCTTGGCGTAGAAAGAGTCGAACAAGAGCCTGTCACAGGCCGTACAAAATGTCCGAACTTAGTGCCAGAATTATTATGTAAACCTGGCATGGGATGATTGTCGCTGGTACTCTGCTCGCACCAAAGCAGGCAACCTCACCACGGCGGCAGCACGGACTGTCTTTGTCAGTTGGCTTGGCTTTGCGACGGCTGCTCCCTGGCACTTGCGCGGCTGGGCGAGGGTGGGTAAGTCCAGATGGTGCAGAGCGGTGCTAAGCAACGACGCGAAAGTTACGTTCATGCACGTGTGTGTGAATACCAGACATTTTACCTATCTACGCTCTCTTGCTACCACGAGAAAGGGGGCCGTTTTCACTAGGTGTCAAAAAAAACTTTTTTTTGCGACTAGATACTAATGCGTTATTTAGATTCTTTGGTACCAAACTGTAGCTAAAAAAATGTTCTGTCGAATAACATAAATGTTGCATATATATTTATTGATATGTGGGGTTTAACGTCCCAAAACCACTATATGATTATGAGAGACGCCGTAGTGGAGGGCTCCGGAAATTTAGACCACCTGGGGTTCTTTAACGTGCACCCAAATCTGAGTACACGGGCCTACAACATTTCCGCCTCCATCGGAAATGCAGCCGCCGCAGCCGGGATTTGAACCCGCGCCCTGCGGGTCAGCAGCCGAGTACCTTAGCCACTAGACCACCGCGGCGGGGCAACATATATATTTATTACACACCTCAAGAAAAAATTTTTATAATGAGAAGTTTATACAGCAATTATACAATTAATGCTTTAAAAAGAAGGACAACATAAAAAAAAGAAGAGGTTAAAAATGATTCAAGATATACAATTTGCAACTTACCATTGCAGACGGCTCAGAGTGCATGCCACTTAAAATACAAAGAATGAAAAAAGAACGGCTTTGGGGCATAATCTTCGGAGAAATTAGTCCTGAAAATAACTCCGAAGTACTCCAGTAGAGATAAAAGCAAGGCAACCCAACAATTCCCATGTAGATGAGGATTCCAATGCACTTCATCGGGACTGAAGTTCCTCCACGAACAGTTTCTTTCTGCGTATGTCTGCCTCTCTAAAATATGCATCCGCGCATATTTGATAATGTAGTCGCAGATCGTGTGGTCAGTTGTGCAGCGAAAGACCGCTAGAAAAAACCGATGGCCCGGATGAAAAACTGTGCACTACTCTGGAGCACGCCTTCGACCCCCGGGTTTTGTCTCGAAAGAAACTGCACATGCTTGATACATGCCGGCAAGGAATCATGTCCGTAGGACGTTGAGACCCTCAAAATAAGTAAAATTGCTGTTAGTACACGCTGCCCCGCCCGCAACTACTAATTAGACAACAAAATGTGCGCCACAAATATAACAGACGCTCACTCGATGTCACGGCTTGACTTGGCGCATCCTTGTCATCGGTGATGAAATTTGATGTGTCTACATCTTCTCCAGGCTCACTACTGCTGATTTCATCCCCAAAATCTGCTATTGATGCACTCGATTTACGAGAAGAGAGTCGTTTTTTAGGAACGTCCCCACAAGAAAATGACACCATGATTGACGCGCTCGCACAACAGCCTCAAACTTTAAGCGGCAAGAAAAAGCTTCGCTAAAGCAAACAACAACCAAAACATCGCGGATCTTGCGAGTTTAAACTTGAAAATTTAAACTAGAAATGCATTGTTTGAATTGAATGATATGAATAGGAACGGTAGCGAGAGTTCGAAATAATGCGATGCGAACATCACAGCCGAGAGGAAGGGCTGTCTAGGCGTCGGAAAAGATTTCGCTCCAGCTGCTTGCTGTACATTCTGTGCACATGCGCCGCATCGCCGCCTGCATCAGAAAACAGTTGCGCCATCACAGAGTGCAATATCATGCATGCGACCTCCATTTCACTGTCAGTGAAGGCACTGTTCCGCAAATGCAAAGGCTCGTGATGCAGGCTCTCGCCTTTCCCACAAGCAGGCGGACTTCTGAAAGACGTAACTTCCGAGACCTTTTATGGCACTGCATAGTTTCTTGTAAGAAAACGTGTTTGCCATGTATGAAGTAGCAAAAAGGAGCAGATTTATCTACCGTGCAGTACGTCGACTTGTTTTGCGCCGGGGTCCAACAGTGGCGACCGCAACAATGATTATGCTTAAACGCGATTTGTTTGTTTATTGATTTATTTTCTTTGTAAACATTGTTACACAGT